AGGAGGAAGGCGCGTCAAGCCAACCCCGACCGGGACCGCCTTCCACCTGGAACCCAATGCCCTCACTGCGGAAGAAAATGCAGAGCAAGAATAGGGCTCCACAGCCACATACGGACCCACAAGGAAATCCATAACGGAAGACCATCTTACTCGTCCAACGAGGGATCGCCTAAGTAAGTAAAAAGTAACTGCATGTAAATCAAGTGGTAACATCAAGATACAGAATTGTTTGACAGGAGACTGGAAAGCAGGTGTCTTCCTTCACCAGCTGCAAAAGATCAAACCGAAAAGGGATATTGTAAAGATGGAGATGCAACGTTTATTAGAGATAGGAGGAGTAAAGGAGGTCCCGATGCATCAAAGGTTCACTTGGATTTTTTGGGGTTTTTTTCTGTTTCAAAAAGCATTATCCTTTTTGAATCCCAGGTATCTCAGTGTCTTTGTAAGATACATGAAGTTCAAAATGAAACTAATTGATGAAACTGTTAATTTATTTATTTATTTACTCATTTGTTTTATTTTTATCCCACTTTTCTCCCCATGGGGACTCAAGGTGACTAACAATCCCACACTTTGGTCACAATTTAAAACAAAGTGAATACAAAAAAAAAGAAAAAAATAACACAGTGTGGGTTTAGATTAAGATACAATTAAAATATAATGAATACACTTAAAATAGCATTTAAATCTCAAAATTGCCATTGCTGTCGACATAGAGGGGTAGAGGAAGTGGCAAGCTGGTGAGAGGCCCTCTTTCTATTTTGACTTATTAGACTGGGGCCTCAAGGAAGAAAGAGCAGGCTGTATCTGATGGGCTTTCTCCCCTCCACCACTTTTTGTGTGTGTCAGGAGCTACTTGAGAAACCACAAGTTGCTTCTGGTGTGAGAGAATTGGCCGTCTGAAAGGACGTTGTCCAGGGGACGCCCGGATGTTTTGCCATCCTGTGGGAGGCTTCTCTCATGTGCCCGCATGAGAAGCTGGAGCTGACAGATGGGAACTCACCCCACTCCCCGGATTCAAACCACTGACCTTTCAGTCAGCAGTCCTGCCGCACAAGGGTTTATCCCATTGTGCCACCGGGGGCTTCTCCCTCCAACAGTGCAATTGCCTTATCCTTACCTGCCATATGTTATTTAAGCCTGAGGGCAGAGAACTATCAAATTAATCATTTGTTAGCCCCTTTGGGTATAAATACTCTAAAATTTAAAATAAATCTATCAGTGGTTCAGGCATGGTTGATATAAGCTGAACCATTAAAACTCTCCTGCCTGCTACATTCACTTTCGTGCCCATGAGCACCACAAAATTAAAATTATGGGTTTTTTTTTTAAAAAAATGGGTAGTACAGCACCTCCAAAATAAGCTTTATAATTACTATTGGATCAACAGTCTATTTTGAATCAGACGTTTGTGACTACAACTCTGTGTGTGTATATAAAATCAGTATGTCATGGATTTTGTTTTAAATAACATCTTTTTCATTTCCTTATCTCAGCATGTTTGTACTACTGAAAGGAGCTACCAAGGAACAATCTTTTAAGATTGGTCAAGAAATTGCAGAAGCTGTAACAGCAACAAACCCTAAACCAGTGAAACTGAAGTTTGAAAAGGTAAGAGAAAAATTGATACTTTTATACATTTATTTATTTTTCATTGACTTCTAGCAAAAAAAAGGAACTCAAAACTGTTAAGAGCAGAATTACAATTTAAATATAAGAAAAAGTTTGAAGGACAACTAATAGGCAGTAATAATAGGAATAAAGGAAAAGCAGAGGTCAACCACATAAAACTTGATGACTACTCAGATTTAATGCCAAGTGCCATCTAATTCAAGAAGCAGTTGTATTTTTGCAAGGAACTAAAAACTGTTAAGAACAGAATTACAATTTAAGCACAAAAAGGATTACTTCCTGTCTTGGGAGAATCAAATTATAAGCATTGCCTAAAGATACCTTTGGATATATTAGAACTAGAACAACTTATGAAAAGAGTAGAAAAGAAAAAAAAACATTCAAAACACAGTTTTCCAATGCTTTTTTACATAACAGGTCTATTTACCTTGTATTCTACAAACCAAGAAGAGGTATGTTGGTTACATGTATGAAACTCTGGACCAGAAAGACCCGGTGTTTGATGCAAAAGGCATAGAAACTGTTAGACGAGATTCATGCCCTGCTGTTTCAAAGGTAAAACTGCACCAGAATTTGTTTTATTAAAAATTATATAGTAGGCAAATCAGTTGTAAGGTTGTGAATGGCTTTTTGGAAGCTGAAGGGCAAAGAATAGCAGGATTAAAAATGAAGTGTTATTAGTATTTCAAATCATTTTACCTTTTGGAGGGTGATGAACAATAAGGAGCTTTTTAAAATGTTGATATATATCCAGAAAGCAATTTTTATGACAATGAGAACATCAATGTTATCTCCATAAATGCCAGCAATGAGGAATTCTTGAAAATATGTTATACTTTCCAGATACTTGAACGTTCTATCAAGCTGCTGTTTGAAACACGTGACATAAGTCATATCAAGCAGTATGTGCAAAATCAGTGCATGAAGTTATTGGAAGGCAAAGCCAGCATGCAGGACTTCATATTTGCAAAAGAGTACAGAGGACTTTCTGCGTACAGACCTGGAGCCTGTGTACCAGCTCTAGAAATCACAAGGTAATGAAGATACATCATCAGAATGAAGGATTTAATTTGATACTATCACAATTTTGCAAATGCAGCAATTAAGACTCCTTCCGCATAAGTAGGCACAAGGGGCATTGTCAGAGCATTGATTCTGTCAGAAGCAAATTGGGACAGAAATGTTTGCTTTTTGATTCACTGTGGCTGCAAAGAGATCCATAGCTTTTTTTCTAAAGCAGTCCACAAGTAACTGGAGCATTTCCTTTCAAATCTCACTCTGCTTGGTCAGTATTGTTGAAACTCAGCCACATCCTGCACAAGCTTACAGTCTTCATCAAGGACTTAGATAGGCAGATGAGTTAGTTGGCAAGAAATAGTCCTTCCCCCATTGCCATCTCTGCCTTCCTGTCACTCTGTGCTCGCCTCCTATCACTTTTCTTTTTAGACTGATAGATTTCAAGGACACACCTCTTTTTCTGAGCACATGGCAAGCTCCCGAGTCCTCCATTTTGTTCTTTTGTTCTTCTCCCGTGAACATGGAGAAAGACGTCTGCTATTAGACAGACAGACAGACAGACCCTGCTAAGTTTTCTATCTGATTATATAATTTTTTTGAATAAAGTGTTTTATAACTTTTAAGCTTAATTCTGCTCCTGAATTACTTAAGCTCAATCGCTCTACTGCTGGCAATAGAAGTTTCTGATCTGTTGGAACTGCTGCTGCTACCACTGTTGTTGCTGCTTTATCATTTTAAATGCCCCCTCCCCCTTTTTTTAATTACCTCCAACAAAAATCACTTTGACAGTGAATCTGCACTAAGGTTTAGCTCTCTTCTTAAGTATGTTCAGTCTCTATGAAGGCAGGTGAGACGGTCCAAATTGTAAAGTTAGTGAGTTCCACCATTGCGAAAGAAGTGTGTCTCCCTTCTGGAGGGTTTCAGGGTATTGTCAGTGTAAATTAGCATTTCTTGTCCCTCTAGTAGCAGGTGAGGAAAACAGAGGGGCCAGACTGCTGGCTTTTAGCTCTAGCCAGATGATACTGTTGGATAAGGCTGGCCTTGGCCTGTCCCAAACAAAACATGGGCCACAGTGGGCTCCTGAACCTCCAACGGCTGTCATTCATCATCACTTAAACCCTGTGCAAACTCAAAATGGGTATCCTTTCTTAGTAGCTGAAATGCCATCACAGAAGAGCTCTAATCACTGACATGGAATACTGTAACCTTCAAGTGTAACATGTTGCTATTTGGGATTACAATAGAAGGAGAAAGACCGAAGCCAAAATTTAAATGGGAAAAGATGTTCTGATAATGAGGGAGGAAGTGTAAGGAACTTTTCAGAGAATGGATCAGAAGAGTGTTATACACATATTTACTGTACTGTAGAGAGACAGATAATGGCAGAAGGTGCAAAGACCAGTTTTTGCCCCCATGAGAGGCAGCCTTCAAAGCCAGCCAAAAATGAATTTGGAACTGGTGGTTTTCATTTATGGGTTTTGGAGGTGGGGTGGCAGTGGTTATATGTATTGTAGTTATGTATATTAAGTATACACCTCTCTTGGAGGCCTCAGGTGTGACATGTGGCACAGGGATAAGAGGACTATGAGCAAAGGGCTGGTATGTGATGGATGGATCAGGACAGCATCGACCTCCAGACGGCCCGTCTCACTTCCATGCCATTGTACTGGATGGTCCCCTCAAAATGGGGTACAAATAGATGAGTAGCACAAAAAGAAATAAAAACCGTAATTTCTATCTTGCATAAAACTATTAGTAGAAAATATAGATATGTTCTCCTTTGGGTGTTTCTTACACTCTCAAGATCACGGTTTTCATATGCAGGAAATGTTTTTCCCTACAAACAGGAAGATGCTTGCATATGACCGCCGGTCCGAACCACGAGTTGGTGAAAGAGTGCCGTATGTCATTGTGTATGGCATGCCAGGATTGCCTCTCATACAGTTGGTCAGGAGGCCGATTGAAGTTCTACAGGATCCTAACTTGCGACTGAATGCGACTTACTACATCACCAAGCAGATTCTTCCTCCGTTGGCTAGGATCTTGTCACTTATTGGCATAGATGTTTTCTGTTGGTATCATGAATTGCCAAGGGTAAGTAAGTAATAACTTTGTCCAAAATCCAGGTTAGTGGCATGTATGTATCTAAGGAATCAATGTGGCTTAGTGGGCTGCATGTTGGGCTATGTTTCTCGAGACCAGTGTTTGATTTCCTGTTCGACTATCAAACCCACTGGGTGGCCTTGGGTAAGTCATTCAGTAGCAAACCTTGCAAGGAAAACCTTGTGGAAGTTGTGATAGATGGTTGTCATGGGTTGGAAACAACACAAGGGCACACAGCAACAGCAAAGTCTCTTTTTGAATGTTTTTTCCCCAATATTTTTGCTTTACATTTTTGACAATTAAAAAAAACAAAAAGAGTACACAGATATACAATTGCTTAACAAACATACATATAACCTATATTTATTTATTTATTTTTTATTTACAGTTCTTATATTCCGCCCTTCTCACCCCGCAGGGGACTCAGGGCGGATTACAGTCAATACATATATGGCAAACATTCAATGCCAGTTTGACAAACAACGTTTAACACACAAATACACCGTGGCTATTTAACTTTTTTCTGGCCGCCAGGGGAGCTGCTGCTTTTCATCGTCCATCAGCGACACAGATGACTTTCTTCCGCATTCCACATTCCCCGGAGTCTTTTTTCTTTATGGCCTCATAAATTAGTTAAATTTAGCCTCCCACACAAGGTGGTACCTTATTTTCCTACTTGACAGATGCAACTGTCTTTCGGGTTGCAAAGGTCGACAACGGGCTACACAATGGCTGGACACCCACTCCAGCCCGGGCTGGCTTCGAACTCATGACCTTTTGGTCAGAGTGATCTTAATGCAGCTGACACTCAGCCAGCTGCGCCACAATCCCGGTGCTATACATATACATATACATACATACATATACATACATATAACCTATACATATAACCTATATTATATTATTAGCATTATATTACCTATAACACTAAAACTATCAACCTATACAGAAATCAGCTTTAAAAGTGGGTTTTCAGCTTCTTTTGTTTTTTCCTCTATAAATTTAACTTTTTTTCCACTTTATATCCAGCACATTGTCTACTCCTGCTTCTTTTAACATATACAAGCCAAAATCACAACATTTTATGCCTCCAGACATGTACGTAATGCAATGTCTTCCCCTCCAATACATATTGATAAAATGTGTCCCAATGACTTATCATTCAACAAAATTGTTAATGTGTCAATTTCTATTATTTCCCACATCTTTACTGTCCAATCACCTTCTGTCATTTTCCACTTTTGAGGATATAAAATTTGTGTCGCTATTAACATGTACTGCGCTATTCTCTCACAAAATTGTGAATGAACATACACTTGGTAAAATTATCTTTGACAAAAAGAAATGTATTGATTGTTGTCCCAATCTTGTCCTTTCCACACAGATTCAGAAAGCTGGCAGAACATCCCACGCTGAACAGGAAAGCCGAAAAGGGACAATTTCCCAGTATTTCACCACCCTACATTGCCCTGTGTGTGATGAATTGACACAACACGGGATTTGCAGTAAATGTCGGAGCCAACCACAGCGTGCGGTGGTCATTCTTAACCAAGAAATTCGAGAATTGGAGCATAAACATGATTGCTTGGTGAAGGTAAAAAGAAAACCAACAAAGAGAATAAGCTTTATAAGATGGGCTTTATATAGGAAATAGCAAGTTTTGAAATGTGGCAATTGAAAATAGTAATGGCTTATTTATTTCCTATATTTATACCCCACCCTTCTCCCCCGAAAGAGGACTCAGGGTGGCAGTGGTTCCCAAACTTTGGCCCTTCAGGTGTTTTGTACTTCAACTCCCAGAATTCCCAACCATCTTACCGGCTGTTAGGAATTGAGAGAGCTGAGGTCCAAAACACCTGGAGGACCCCAGGTTGGGAACCCCTGGTTTGTAGAGATGTAGTCAATGCTGTCTTTGTGCCTAATGATGCTTTCACCTGCTGAGTGTCATTTAATATACTTCTAGATATGCAAGAACTGCACAAGCTGCCTGGACCGACAGATCCCATGCGTTTCCCTGAACTGCCCGGTTCTCTTCAAGGTCTCCAGGGTGAGCAGAGAATTATCCAAGGCCCCGTATCTTCGGCAGCTACTTGACCAGTTTTAAGGGACCTGCATTGCAGGAGTCTAGGTGCTATTTTGTTTCCAGTGTTTACCACTCTGAAACCACCATGCATGGTCCTTCGATTTCATCTTGTCCAGGATTTACATTGTCGACTGACTCTGAAAAAATAATGAATGTTTGAAGTAAATTTCTTCAACTGTTAGTAACTCTTTTTAAGATGTCTGTTTATTCATCCTTCTGCCTTTTTAATGCAGATATTGGAATAAAGTATATGTTAACATCCTATAAATCCATTTCAGAATAAATGTTTACTTGAGGCGCTAAAGTCCCTTGGGAAAAATGTTGTTGTGTTTTCTTAAGCTGTCAGTATCAGGATGTTTTACTTGCAGGTATCTCATCCATTTTATAATTTTGACTGCAGAATATTTTGTAAATACACTTTTTTACTTTTCAAACAACTGAGTAAAAATAACGTGCAATGAATTTTATACTGACACTTTTAAAGTTTGTTGGGATATTTCCTCTTCAGTTTTGCTTGACTCCAAGTAGATTTGTTGTTTTTTGAACAGACTGTGCAAACAATAGTTATGTGTAGCATTTTTGAAGCATTTTCTAAAAACCACTGTCTTGCTTTAGCTATGAATTGGGGCATTGTGAGGAACTGTGCAAAGACATTTGTTATAAAACTGTGGGACTGTTGCAATACTTTAAATAAGAAATTTTATTCCATTTTTGCTTTTGTATAGACATTTCTATTGCTTCTAAATATGCTTAATATTTCATGTATTGTACAGTTAAATTTATTTGCCATCATCTTGAGAAAATGTGTATTTAGGATATTTGTATAACTGTATAAAATGAAAAGGAATTATGTGGTCATGATTCATTTTTTAGAAATTGGAAACCATTTTGATTTAAAAATTAATGGAAATCATAGACAATTGAATAAAATCAAATAAATGTGCATTTCTAAAGTTCACTGGTTCTAGTCTTTGTTTTTAACAGTACTACCTTTTTAGTGACTGTTACATCATTGTTGGGCAATCAAAAAATAACTATAGAGCTTCAGATATAGAAACAAAATACTTTTAGGGTGTTTCAGAATGATGGGCCCAATTTCAAAGCAGTATATTTCATGATAACAACATATAATTAGACAAAAAGTTACAAATGGTTTATTGGGCCATCAAGTTTGATCAATTGTTATAAGCCAGAAACAAATCTAAACAAAATAACCCTACAAATGGAGAATATCTAATTAGACCTTACGTTGTGGGGTCACCCACCATCTTGTGAACGACTGAGGCCAGGAGCTGTTTGTGTGCTGGGAGAGGTATTGAGCGGTAATCCCCTGAATTTCTATGTCCCACTCTTTCAAGCGCCAAGCGTTTCATTCATGGGTGGTTTGTGGTTTATGAGAGAAAGCAATTTCAAATTGGGCCCATCTTTTTGGAAAACCCTGTATTTCTGTTTGATTACCAAAAATAAACTGAGACCTCCAGCCAAGACCTTACATCAGAAGACTATCGTGAAAGTTCTGCTGGGTAGAAACATAACAGATCACAGCCTTAATAGGACTATCCTTCCTGTTGTACTCACTCCCTGAAGAGCAGGGCCAGAGCAGGATTAGGATACATGTTTAAATTACACAAAATGGTCATCATCTGAAGTTCTCCAGGTCACTACTTTTCGTTAAAGACGTATCCAGATAATTCTCTGGTATTTCCCTCTCTCTTCACTAGCCACAAAACAACTGTGGAGGAAGTCCTACAGGGGAGTCTTGTGGAATCTTCTGGATATTGTGTGAGGGAGGTGCTGGATTTCTCCCTCTGCAGCAACCAGAAGAGTTCAGTACACCGCTAGATAGTTCAGTCAGTCACACTTGCTTATATCACCAACAGGGTACCAGCCAGTATTACATCTAACAACTAACCCCAACTAGAAGAGACCCCTGAAATCAACTGCTGAATAGGAGGAAAACAGTAATAATTATTGTACCCTTCTAGAATGAACAACTGGATGTAGGTTCATGAACACTGGACTCACTTCTTGCAGGACAAATTATCTGTGCAATTCATGACTTACATTTACAGACCTGATTTCCTGACAGCTTAAAAATGAAGCTCATGGCTCTTTCGTAAAGAAATAATTTATTCAAGAAAAGAAATCACACTCCCCCCACCCCTGTAAACACTCGTTTATCTCCGTAGATGCAGTACAGAAAGACAAAGTAAACTAATGATACCCAAATCACAGAGTTAACATTTAAGGCAAACAATCACATTTGAGAGTTAAAACAAAGTGCCAAAATGTGCAAGTCAAGGTCCAGGGATGATCTGTTTCATAATGCTAGTTAAATACAAACAAACAAACACCAGAAATACCCGCACACCACCAGGAGGGACACGAGTCTTCAAAAAAATATTACATTTATAACTACAGCATTTTTTTCTTTAAAATGACTTTTAAAATCCCCAAAGTTCTCTTTACATAACAAACGCCAACAATCTCCAGTACAGAATTCTTGACATCTTTACCATGCTTTTAACTGCTGAAAACTCTACTAACAAATTTTGGCCATAACCAAAAAGCAAAAATGCTGGCCAAAAGAATGCTGGATTTAGAATTCTGAAAAAGCAGCTCCACCTGTCATGTGTTATATAGAGAATGTATAATGATCATAGACGAAACAGCTTTTTTTAAAAAAAAGTGTGCCACTGTTTTGTTTTGGTTTTTTTTAAAAAAGCTGCTGAAATGTCCGTTTTGAAATATGTATTTTGAAATACCATATGAGAGGCTGTCAAAGGAGATAACTTGTCTTTGTAAGCAAATTCATGCTTTCTCTTTGGATCCTCCTGTTCTTTGCATGAACCAAACAATAGATACATCCCTGCAAGAAATATTAAAATTGAAAAAAACGATTTAACTGCATGCAGCTGATGTGGACATCAGGAACCAAATATACATTTGGCAGATATAAATCAATGAATAATAGCCTACACATCCAGTTCTAAGTTATATGGTGTAATTCTTTCTCTTAAAAATTACATTCCTGTTTTGTCAACTTTCAAAGTAGAATGCTTTATCACAGAACACAACTGTGAGGTAGTCTCAATTTCACTTCAAATTTACTAGTCTACAAATTTAATTACCTTTTAACTTAATCAAGTTTGAATGTATGTTAGTTCACTATTATGGGAGTCTTAGGATAGTGATTATTGTCTATTAGTGTATGTTTCTGTTTTTGTCTTTAATGTTGATACGGTCAGTGGACTAATCAATAAACTTTGCACTTACTAGTCTACAGGCATAGGTAATGATAGCCTTTTATTTCCAAGTTTTATTTGTTTTATTTATTTATTCTGTTTTATATCCCGCCCTCTCTCCCTCATTGAGGGACTTAGAGCGGTTAATGTTAGTCTCTAGTGTTTCGCAATGAATAAACAAAAAATAAACAAAACAAACCCACATTATATTGTCGTTAAAATCTAAGGCCACTTAATAAATTCCACTGCATTAACAGCAAAATGTTAATTTTGTGCAGAGATAGTCCATACATCCCCTTTTACATTCCAATACCGTACCTGATATTTTTAGAGGGAATAGTCTAAAGTTTATGAACAAGGTAGGCCCACATTCATCTTTCTCCACATTCTACAGATCACACCTGCAGCCTTCTTTCTTCTCTTTTCCTATAGAAATCTAAACGCCTCACCTTTTGCCAGCTTGAATAAAGGTCTCTCCCAAGTTCAAACATGTTCAACTCTGTAGGAATCATTACACGCTCTTGAGCACCACAGTGGTCTTATGTTACAAACTATATGCAAAATATGTATTTGGTAAATCCTCCATTTTGCAAAATATGCAAATAAATTTTTTGTTGAACCCCAGATTACAGCATTTCTTATCAAAAGGCAGCATGCCACCGTAACGTTTGCATTATCATTTGAATATTGCCACGTAGCAGTCTTGCTCTTCTAACAAAAGGAGAGGTTAAAGCAAACAAATAACATTGTAAATTCATCACATGGCACAATAAAAAAATTGCAAAGGGAATCTTATATTACTATATAACTACCCTTAGTGGAAGACTAATAATCTTTATTTTCTTACTAAGGAAGGTTCCAATTAAATAAGTACAGATAGCCTTCCACACCTGTCAGTTTGACTTTGGCAGATTTGATTGTTCACAAACTTAACTTTAAGAATTCTGTCTCGGCACCTCTAGGTCCTCTGGTATAATCCTTTAGTCAGATTCCAACAGTTGACCATAAAGTTATGCTGGACAACAAAGAAATTCCCAGAGAGGTATTCTTTCAGGTACAAAAAATAGCAATTTCATGCGTCTTCTGTACCTTTACCCCTAGAGAATGTGGATTGCTAACTATTCAGTACTATCTTGATCAAGAAGAAAACTTGCAAATCACATTGGAAACAGATGTTGATTATAAAATGCAGAAAATATGGGAAAAATTAAACAAATACACAAACAGTAATGCTCTTGTTTTTCAAAGAATATACAAATGACACTTTGAAATGTGGTTTTTAAAAGATGCAACAGCATCCAAACACAAATGTTATCCAGATAGATATAGATAGATAACTGGCACTCAAGAGCAGTGGAAATTGCAGGAAAAGGGATTCCACCTGAACATTAGAAGGACTTTCGGACATTAACAGCTTCCCAAATGCCTACAGAACAATGATACCATGAACGTTAGGAAATATTCTGCCCTGCGGCATTTTTCTACCACCGTGATGTTCATGCAAGGGAGCTCTGCCACATCATTCCTCTATGGTACATTCCTCAGACATGCTTTTAAACAAAGCAACCTCAACTGGGCTTTACCAAGCTTCCCACCTCTGCATTGCCACATATGCATACACTCCTTCCTGTAGAAGAGAGCTCTAGTCATTTTTACTTGAATTCTTTCGTCTTGGGGATCCTATAGAAAGCACAGGAGAAGGATTACATATCTTTCCTGAAGGGGGATGAGCAGATGAGGCAAGTGCAGACGCCCCTTGGATGTTCGTAGTCGTTTCGATGACCGAATTCTGTCGCGTATCATTCATCTCAATTACTTCAAAGTCTGCCTCATTCCATTCCTTGCCCTCCTTGTCCTCCTCATCCTCTTCCTCAAGGTGAGAGTTGGACAACAATGCTTCTCGGAGGTTCCCATCTCCAGCACCTTTCCGATTAGGATCACTTGGGGATGTTGCTAATTTATACAGCACAGGGAACAGCACAGCTGTCATGGCTGCGGATGCCAACGCAGTATACATAAGCACCGGGATCGCAGGGTAGTGTCCTTGCAGGAAGCCAACCACAGCAGGAATACACATTTCCCCCATTGCAGCACCCATGACAAACAGCGCAGCAGACTTCCCTTGGATGGTGGTATACTGCTCAACCCAGGATATACCACTGGGGAAGATGGCAGCCATTGATGCTCCATACACCGCAGAGCCAAGCCACAGAGAGACCGGGTGCGTGTTGAACAGGGCCAAGAACAAGGATGACACAGTGGAGAATATGATACTCAAGAGGATGATCGACCCAGGATGAGAGCAGGCAGCCAGGCAGATCGCCAGTCCCCTGCACGCCGCAAAGGACCCCCAAAAGACTGAGTTCAACCCTGCCGCTTCGCTCTCCTTCATGCCCACATGGGTCTTGGCATAAGTAAAAATGTAAGACCCGTAGGTGACCTCTGCTCCAACGTACCAGAAAAAGAATACAGAGAGGAGAATTATGAGGGCATAGTGGTATTTGGCAATCTTGTATTTCTGTGCAGAAAACTTCCTTCTGTCACGAGCAGAACTCCTCCAATATAAAAGACAGAAAAACAACGCCACGAGCAAGACGTAAGTGCCTATCACAGTATAAGACGACATCACGTTCATGGTGAAATGTAGCTTCTCCAATGACACGGGAGAGTCCACAGCAGGTTGATGGTCACCTGTGCCACCCAGATGGTCCTGTGGGTCCAGAGCAGAGCCGCCCAGCGCCATCTTGGCCAAGATGGGAGCCACAAAAGCACCCAGGGCAAAACTGAAATGTAAGGCTTGCATATGCGGACCAGCCTCTGCCCCCCATGTGTCCAAAGCCACAACATTGCCACCTACAATGCAAACAAACAAAAAATATTCAAACAATCAGGTTTGGAAGGCATGGCCTCTCAGCTTTGGAAAGCATCAACAATTAAAGTACAATGAATACAACAGGTCTGGGCGTTCAGGTGTATATATATAAAGAGTATATATAATCTTTCCTCAAATGAAAAGCAGAATTACAGAAGAATAAAACCAGCACAGAACAGCGGCACACAACTAACTCAATGGAAGTGGTATCAAACTGTTATTTGCTCTTCTGCACAAACAAGCAGGATGCAGGTCCAAGAGTTCTGCACATATGGTAAAACGCCCTTCTCATCAAGCAATTTTCCATTTAAGGGACGCAAGATATTCCAAATTCATTAATACGACAGACATGGAGCAGTATGACAAACAGTTGCTGCTGTTGGTTTTTTACCTGTATCCAGGACTCCCATTGAAAAACCAATGACAGACATCATGGCTGTAAGCAAAATTGCTGTCTTACACCACGGGATGGCATACAAGCCCATGGCTGTAGCCAGCATAGAAAAGCCTACAAGAGATATGACAGAATTAGTGGTTTGTATAATCATTGCCTATATTTTCATATTTAATTTCAAAGCCAAGATTACATTGTGTTTTTTTTTTACTGAATTACAAAAAGATCCCTACGTTTTTGTTGTTAACTGTACATGTGAATTCCCAGCAGTTGCAAGATAATAAATCCAGGTTCATAATTGCTGAACACAATGCCAGCCACTGCATCCAGAAATGAAGGAGCACAACAACTGCTCAAAGTGAAAGACTATTTTTCTGATCAGGCTTGGAAAGATTTAAGGGATCTTGTTCTAGGATACTGGAGAACTTGGTGTGGTGCACTTATTAAAACTAGTCAGCCTAATTCAGCCTGGACTAATGTGGATGACCACAACATTATCTTTCCGTGTTAGTTATCCTTCCAGCTTTCTCATACTGTTCTTTGTACAAATATGTATAACAGGGCCATATCTCTAAATTAAATGGCATATTTTTGAGGAAAAATGCAGGCAGCTGTGTTTTGTTTGAAGCCACAGAAAATGGGATGAAAGACACTCAGCACTGAACACATGTGAAACCAGTAACAGACAGATGCATCAATCCGTAAAAAGTAATGGGAAGGAGATTGAATCTCACATCTTGATTATTTCCTCTTCTGATCTACCAACTGGGGAGTTCAACTTTGTGCATTGGGCATATCCTGGCTGCTACACCATTACATTGTAGATTGATACATGCAATAACTCATCCACACAAGGAAATACATACAAACACAGCATTGCCCAAACACAAATTGAGGAACATGAAAGGCACTGCAGACTAACTCAACCAGAGAAGTCAGCCATAGCAGAGCACCTTATGAACCAACCTGGACACAGCATATTATTTGAGAACACAGAAATGCTGGCCACTCTAACAACCACCATGTCAGACTACACAGCGATGCCACTGAAATCCACAAGCAGAAAGGAGGAAACCATGAAAATGAACAAAATCTGGCTACCAGTTTAAAAAACTCTAAAATCAGGAGAGTAAAGAAAGGACAACACGCAAAAACAGGGGAATTCCAGACAAGAAGCAATCAGGGCCAGCTAATCACCTCCCAACAAAGGATTCCCCATGCAAGATGCAGCCAAGCCTTGAAGCTGCAAGGCTATTCAATGCTAATCAATAGCCTTCACACCTGTCTCAAACAGACAAGAGTTCTTTCTCCCACCCTGAACATTCCACAGATACTCGTATAAACCCCACTTGCCTTGTTTCCAACAAACCTCACAACCTCTGAGGATGCCTGCCATAGATGTGGGCAAAACGTCAGGAGAGGATGCTTCTGGAACACGGCCATACAGCCCAGAAAAGCCACAGCAACCCAGTGATTTTGGCCATGAAAGCCTTCGACAACACAAACACATACAACCCCAACTACAATGATATACAACAGAACTGTTCATTTCTGCATACTCACCCAAGAGAATTTGGGCATTCATGCAGTCGACAAGCAAACCGCCAATTAAAGAGCCACCAAAATACCCCGAGGAACGGCCCACAAAGATGAAAGAGATCTGACTGACATTTCTGTTCACATTTGCTGCCAAGTCTGGAAATGTGGGCCCCAGGATAGCAATGGCCATGCCCTGCAAGGCAAAAACAGCTTGTGGTTAACTGCATCTCGGTTGGCCAAGAAGACATCTGGCTGAGGTTGAGAAGGTTGGCTCCCTTCTCCACTGCAACTCAGGGAACATATATACCATCCCAACCAAAGTTGTGGAGGAAAAATAGAGAAATCAAGAAACCCTACAAGCATTTCTTCCCCTCCACGGCATGACAAAGTCATCAGCTTCTTTCGAAACTTTTAAACAGAGGCTGGATGGCCATCTGTCAGGGATGCTTTGAATGCAATATTCCTGCTTCTTGGCAGGGGGTTGGACTGGATGGCCCATGAGGTCTCTTCCAACTCTATGATTCTATGATTCTAGGACTAGTTAGACCAGCATTTCTCAAATTGGGGGTCGGGACCCTTTGGGGGTCACAAGGGGATTTCACAGGGGTCACCAAAGCCCATCAGAAAACATATATTTCTAATCGTCTTAGGAACTCCTTTGACAGAGAAGGCTGAAGATCTCTCCGCCTATCCTTCTCTTCCTTTTTGGAAACAGACAGGGAATCCTCCCACCAAAAGCCCTCTTCTGCTCTGATTGGCTGGCCTCTCTGCCGCGGAGAAACACTGTTTCTGAGACTCCAAGTGGCAAAAGGCAGCATGGTCTGCATGTGCGTGCAAGGCTGGAGGGAGGCTCGTGCCAGCAAGTCCCTTCAAGGCATGGGAACTCTGTGTGGGAAGTTTGGCCCAATTCTATTGTTGGCGTTGTTCAGTATTCTCTTTGATTGTGGATGAACTATAAATCCCAGCAACTACTATTTATTTATTTACTCCACCCCAATGGGAACTCAGGAGGGTTCACAGTGTTGGCAACAATTCAATGCAACTACAACTCGAAAATATCAAGATCTATTTTCCCCAAACTCCACCAGTGTTCACATTTGGGCACATTGAGGATCTGTACCAAGTTTGGTCCAGATGCATCATTGTTTGAGTTCACAGTGTTCTCTGGATGTAAGTGAACTACAACTCCAAAACTCAAGGTCAATGCCCACCAAACCCTTCTAGTGTTTTCTCTTGGTCATGGGAGTTCTCTGTGCCAAGTTTGGTTCAGGTCCATCATTGGTGGAGTTTAGAAGACTCTTTGATTGTAGGTTAACTATAAATCCCAGCAACTACAAATCCCAAATGATAAAAACAATCCCCCCTCCCAATCCCAACAGTATTCAAATTTGGGCGTATCAGGTATTTGTGCCAAATTTGGTCCAGTGAATGAAAATACATCCTGCATATCAGATATTTGTATGACGATTCATAACAGGGCAAAAGTATGATAGCTGGGCCCCTACACTGGTTGCGCAGCACAGGTCTGAATTAATGAGGGGAACATGTGCGTGAGTCAGAGCAGCGAGAGACGCAGCTATATCAGAGTCATGGCAAGATAGTTCACCAGAAAGGGGGAGAGGAAATATTTCTATCCCATTTACCGTCTTGGTAAACCCTTGTCTTCTCTTAATTCTGACCCGTGTTGCGCAAGTAGTGTAGCGTAGGGTCCTGGCTATCATACTTTTGTCCATAACAGTAGCAAAATGACAGTTATGAAGTAATAACGAAAATAATGTTATGGTTGGGGGTCACCAGATGAGGAACAGTAAATAACTCTAACATAACTTCTTTCGCCTTAAGCACTATGCTTGTCTGTTTGTTGTTCCCCCCCCCCCTTTCTATCCTGGCTGCTTGTTGTCCCCACCCCCTTTCTGTCCCTTCCCCTTTCTGGCGAACTATCTTGCCACAACTGTCACACCTGTGCCCCTCCCTCGCTCCGCTGTCTCGTGCATGTCTTCTCTTAATTCTGACCCGTGTTGGGCAAGTACCATAACATAGAGTCCTGGCTATCATACTTTTGCCCATAACAGTAGCAAAATGACAGTTATGAAGTAGCAACTGAAATAATTTAACGGTTGGGGGGGGGGGTCACCACAACATGAAGAACTGTATTAAGGGGTCACAACATTAGGAAGGTTGAGAAACACTGAGTTAAGACAAACCTTTCCATTAACACTATGTAATGCGGTTTTTGTCCCTAGGTTACAAATGTCATTTCCTAATTGGGTCTATAGAAAAACAAGTTAATGAAACTGCAAWTTTTTTTTTCAATGAATAGCTGATAGAGCGGGCCTGGGCAAACTTGGGCCCTGCTTCTAGGTGTTTTGGACTTCAACTCCCAGCATTCCTAACAGCCGCTTAAGCGGCTGAGGGGGAAAAGGAAAGGTCCTGAGGCTGTTAGGAATGCTGGGAGTTGAAGTCCAAAACACTGGAGGGAAGGCCCAAGTTTGCCCAGGCCTGCTCTATCAGTCAAGAGGCCGAGGCCTGTGAAAGAACCATGGGGTTTTGTGCTCTCACCAGGCCCAGAAAGGCGGCGCAGAGCACCCCCGAGGTGCACCACTTCAGCGCCCTCAGAGGGGCCCGCGCCGCCGCCGCTTCCGCTTCCGCCCGGCTCCTCCGCGCGGCGCTGCCCCCGGCCACCCTCACTTCCGGTTGGAGGGGCTCCGGCGCCTCCGCCCCCTCCCCGCGGCCTTCCTCCCCTTCCTCCTCCTCCTCCTCTTCCTCGCCGCCATCCCTCTGCGCGAAGCGGACCTGCTTCCTCGCCCCCTCCGCCATCACTGCCGGGGAGGAGGGGGGAACTGTCACGCTCCCTGATTGGACGCTCGCCGCCCCTTGCGTCATAATGGCCCTCGGACCGCCATTGGTCGAACACGAGCGGGTTTTTTTTTTCTTTCTGGCGCTCTCCAGTCATTGGCCCGCTTCTGCGGAAGAGGCTCTGTCCAATCCTGGCAAGGGCTCGGGATGAGTCAGTAAACAGAGCCAGCGTGGCGAGCATCTGACTGGGAATCCTGGGGAACGTTTCATGCCTCACCAAAGAGAAGCAGTTCCAGCCATCATGGCCGGAATCAATGGGTTGCTGTGCATTTTTCGGGCTGTATGGCCATGTTCCAGAAGCATTCTCTCCTGACGTTTCGCCTGCACCTATGGCCTCACAACCTCTGAAAATGCCTGCCATAGATGCAGGCGAAACGTCAGGAGAGAATGCTTCTGGAACATGGCCATACAACCCGAAAAATGCACAGGAACCCAGTGCCTTCGACAACATATTTAATGAATGCCCCCCTAATGCAACCTCTTGAGAAACCAGAACCACCCACATGATTGTTTTTACTCAAGGTAGTGCCCCAACAGTAGTTCAGCCATTGTATTTACACGTGACGACCTAGTGTTAAAACATCAAAGTCCACTGAAATTCAGAAACAATTAGCATAATTGTATTTATTTATTTGCTTCGCTTATACCCCGCCTTTCTCACCCCCGTAGCTGGACTCAAAGCGGCTTACAACTCTGGCAAGATTCAATGCTGTTTAAAACGTAATCGTAAAACATCCTGTCAACTAAAAACAAAAACAGTCAAGCAAATAAGCACACAGAATAACATTAAAAATATAAAGTGCATGGTACCACTCATTCATAATCCTTGCTCACAATTCTTATTCAGACTGTGTCGAAACCGTAATAACTTACACTTCAAACACTTGAGTACAGAGCCATGTCTATTTACTTTTTTCTGAAAACCAGAAGAGACGGGGCCTGCTTGATGTCACTGGGAATTCCAGTCGCGAGCCCACCACTGAGAAGGCCCTGTCTCTCGTTCCCACCAACTGCGCTTGTGAAAGGGATGGGACCGAGAGCAGGGCCTCCCCAGATGATCTTAAAGCTCTTGTTGGCTCATAGGAGAAGATGCGTTCAGACAGGTAAGTTGGACCAGAACTGTTTAGGGCTTTATAGGCCAAGACCAGCACTTTGAGTTAAGTTTGGTAGCAAACTGGCAGCCAGTGGAGCTAACATAACAGAGGAGTACTATGCTCTTTGTACGCCACCCCAGTTAGAAATATGCCAACAGCCTGTTCCAGGCCGTCTTCAAAGGCAACCCCATGTAGAGCATGTTGCAGTAGTCTATACAAGATGTAACAAGAGCATGGACCACCATGACCAAGTCTGACTTCCCCTGGTACAGGTACAACTGGCACACAAATTTTAATTGTGTAAAAGCTCCCCTGGCCACCACCAAAACCTGGGGCTCCAGGCTCAATGATGAATCTAGGATCACTCCCCAGCTGTGAACCTGCGTCTTCAGGGAGAATGCAACCCCATCCAACACAGGTTGTAACGCTATACCGTTTGGCTTTACAACAGACCAGGAGTACCTTGTCTTGTCTGGATTCAATTTCAATGTGTTCATCCTCATTCAGACCATCACTGCTGCCAAGCACCGGTTCAGGACCTGAATAGCCTCCTTAGCATTATGTGAAAAGGAGTGATATAGAGTTGGGACGTCACTTGCGTACAGGTGGCATCGAACTCCAAAACTCCGAATGATCTCCCCAAGCAGTTTCATGGGAGACAGTATGGAACCCTGCAGGACCTTGCAAGTCAGTGGTTGTGGGGTCAACCAGGTGTTCCCCAACACCTTCTGAGAATGGCCCTCCAAGAAGGACTGGACCCACTGAAAATGGTGCCCCCAAGCCCCATTCCCGTGAGGCTTCTCAAAAGGATACCATGGTGTACAGTATCAAAAGCTGGTGAGAGAACTAAACTGACTGTCGCATTCCCTACGCAGATCATCCACTAAGAAGACCAAGGCTGTTTCAGCCAGACTGCAACAAGTCTAGACAATCAGTTTCTTCCAAGAATACCTGGAGTTGCAAGGCCTCCGCACATTCCAAGACTTCGCCCAAATAAGTGAGATTGGACACTGGCCAAAAGTGGTTCAATTGAGTGAGGTCCACTGATGGGTTTTTTCAACAGTGGTTTTATGACAGCTTCCGTTAGGGGTGCTGGAATCTTGCCTTCTTGTAAGGAGCATTAACCACCACCTCCACCCACACTGGCAAACCCCCTCTGGCTTCCTTTATCAGCCAGGATGGGGTCCAGGATGCATGTGGTCACCCACGCCTCTCTAAAGATTTTGTCCACATCCTCGGACTGCACAAACCGAAATGCATCCATTAAAACCAGACAATCAGGTCCTCAAGTTACATCTTCATGCAGGTCTCTTCAGCTTTCTTTTTGACCCCCAGCACTAATGGAGCCTGCTTGAAAAAAGGGTTTGATTCATCAGCCAAAAATTTAAAAAGTCCTTAATGTGAAGGATTTTCAAGGAGGCATTGGTGAAAACTTGCAGCATGGAAAAGAATCACAAAGTGATCTTTTGGACTCTCTGACAACTCCATTAAATGCCATCAGATGCATTCAGTTGTCACAAAGCTTTTTGCCCAGCCTCAACTCAGCTGGCAGGATGGAGAAGAGGCTTCCATTGTGCCTTCTCAGCATGCTTCACTAGTGCAGTTTTTAACTGGAGAGGTTGTGCTGCCTTCTCCTCAGAGATCTCTTACTCCTGAGAATAGTTCCAGAAGGCATCTGAACACTGAAATGGACCCTGTGGGATCATCCATACCAGTTCATTACAAAGTCCAAGATACACAATCAGGCTGTATGTCCATTTTGTTCCATGGCAAGTCTGTCAGGCATTCAGTAAACAAAATGGTGGCACACTTAATTGAGCAGCTGGATAAAGCTGTGATTCTAATTACAATGGTCAGAGTATACCAGAAGCCAACAAAGAAGAGGATGAGGAAAAGGACGAGCTTTTCCCCAATGGAGTGGCTAATCAGAAATCCCAAAAACCAGAATTGAAACTCCAGGCAGAAGGAATACCAAGCAGCTGAAGAATCCACCCACAAAGAAAATGGTAGAAGGAATAACTCAAGAAATAGGTAAAGAAAGTGAGCTCCAAGAAATGTTGGACATGGAAATTGCGATACCAGAAGCTGAAACGGATCCTGATACCAATGCGATACCAGAAGCTGAAATGGATCCTGAGTCTGAGGAGATGACAGATACTGAAGTAGAATTTGAGAATCTTGATCCAACTGGGAAGACACCAGCATTTGCACATGCTTGACTGTATCCCATTGTTGGCCACCCCGCACACTTCAAAAGTGGATGCCTCCAGGCCTTCTCCCAAGCAGCACAATGTTAAACGGGCTCCAATGCCATCTCAAAAAGCACGCAGAACAAAAGATGGCCCTGAACTCCCCAGCAGTGTGCTAAAAGGACTGGTAGCAAAGAAGAAACCTTTACATGTGCTGATAGAGAATCATATGCCTCTAGAGCAGGCATGGGCAAACTTCGAACCGACTGTTAGGAATTTTGGGTGTTGAAGTCCAAAACACCTGGCAGACCCAAGTTTGCCCATGCCTGCTCTACAGTATAGAAAGCTGTTGCTTCCTGTTGCTACTAGTGGAAATGAAATTGTATCTAGTACCTCCAAAACTATAGTGAAATATTAGTGAAATGCTCTACTGCATCTTACCTCCAAACATGGGTTAAGGTTGTTTTAAATTTTATCCTATTTAAAAATTATATTATGTGATATGCTTGTTAGGGTTGTAAGGTTTTATTTTTGAGTTAATTTCTATTTGGTATTGAGTTTACAATAATGTTTATTTTATTTTCTTTGACGTGCATTGTTTTGATGCAATTTGTTATTATGTCTTTTTCCTGGGATTGAATATTTGCCATATGTGTTGGAAACTGCCCCAAGTCCCTTTGGAGAGATAGGACGGTCTATAAATAAAGGAATATTATTATTATTATTATTATTATTATTAATAATAATAATAATAATAATAATAATAATAATATAATATAAGGCCACTTAATGACTTCCCCTGCATTAACTATTTGTGTGGAGATAGTCCATACATTCTATTTTACATTCCAATCCTGTACCTGATATTTTTAGAAGGCATATTCTAAATGTTATGGTCAAAGTAAGCCCAAATTCATCTTTCTCCACATTCTACAGTAGACCATACCTGTAGCCTTCTTCCTTCTTTTTTTCCTACATAAAGTTCACCAGAATGACTCACCTTTTGCCAGATTGAGTGAAACAGAGTTGAAACATGTTCAACTCTGAGAGAACCATTACATGCTCTTGAGCACCACAGCGGTGTTATGCTACAAACTATATGCAAAAAAGGTATTTGGTAAATCCTCCATTTTGCAAAATATGGAAATAAAAAATCTGCTGAACACCAGATTACAGCATTTCTTATCAAAAGGCAGCATACCACGGTAACTTTTGCATTATCATTTGAATATTATCACGTAGCAGACTTACTCCTCTAACAAAAGGAGAGGTTAAAGCAAACAAATAGCATTGTGCATGTCCTAGCAAGAGTAAATTCATCACATCGCACAATCAAGAAATTTGCAAAGGGACTCTTATACTACTATATAACTACCCTTAGTGGAAGACTAATAATCCGTTTTTTTCTTACTAAGGAAGGTTCCAATTAAATAAGTGGACAATTCCCATAAGTGGACAAGTCCCAGAAGATTGGAGGATGGCAAATGTGGTCCCTATCTTCAAGAAGGGAAAAAGGGACAACCCAAACAATTACAGTCTGGTCAGCCTAACTTTGATACCAGGAAAGATTCTGGAAAAGATCATTAAGGAAGTAGTCTGCAAACACTTAGAAAGGATATCTAATCCAGATAAATATAGTAATGCACTGCTGGGACTCAAGAGCAGTGGATATTGCAGAAAAAAGGATTCCACCTGAACATTAGGAAGGATTTCCTCACATAAGAGCTTCCCAATGATAGTATGATTGTTAGGAAATATTCTGCCTTGTCGTATTTTTCTACCACCATCATGTGGAGCCCCCGGTGGCGCTATGGGTCAAACCCTTGTGCCAGCAGGACTAATGACTGACAGGTTGGAGGTTTGAATCTGAGGAGAGCAAGGATGAGCTCCCTCTGTCAGCTCCAGCTCCCCATGCGGGGACATGGGACAAGTCTCTAACAAGGATGGTAAAACATCAAAAACACCTGGGCAATGTCCTTGCAGACGGCCAATTCTCTCACACCAGAAGCAACTTGCAGTTTCTTAAGTTGCTTCTGACATGAGAAAAAAACACCATCATGTTCATGCAAGTGAGCTCTGCCACATCATTCCTCTATGGTACATTACTCAGAAGCCTAGAAAAGCAACATCAACTAGGCTTTACCAAATTTCCCACCTCTACTGCATCACCACATACCTATAGAGTAGGCACTACATCCCTTGATCTAGAAGAGAGCTCTAATGCAGACGCCCCTTGGATGTTCGTAGATGTTTCAATGACCGAATTCTGCCACATATCATTCATCTCAATTACTTCAAAGTCTACCTCATTCCATTCCTTGACCTCCTCATCCTCTTCCTCAAGGTGAGAGTTGAACAACAATGCTTCACTGAGGTTCCTATCTCCAGCACCTTTCCGGTTAGGATCACTTGGGGATGTTGCTAATTTATACAGCACAGGGAACAGCACGTCTGTCATGATTGCAGATACCAGTGCAGTGTATATAAGCACTGGGACTGCAGGGTAGTGTCCTTGCAAGAAGCCAACTGCAGCAGGAATACACATTTGCCCCATGGCAGCACCCATGACAAACAAAGTGGCAGACTTCCCTTGGATGGTGGTGTACTGCTCAAGCCAGGATATGCCACTGGGGAAGAGGGCGGCCAGTGATGCTCCATATACAGCAGAGCCAAGCCACAGAGAGACCGGGTGTGTGTTGAACAGGGTCAGGGTCAAGGAGGACACGGTGGAGAATATGATACTCAGGACGATGATTGACACCGGCCGGGAGCAGATGGCCAGGCAGATTGCCAGTCCCCTGCAGGCTGCAAAGGACCCCCAAAAGACTGAGTTCAACCCTGCTGCTTCACTCTCCTTCATGCCCACATAGGTCTTGGCATAAGTGAAAATGTAAGCCCCATAGGCAACTTCTGCTCCGACGTACCAGAAAAAGAATATAGAGAGCAGAATTAGGAGGGCATAGTGGTATTTGGCAATCTTGTATTGCTGTGCAGAAGACTTCCTCCTGTCGCGAGTAGAACCGCTCCTCCAATATAAAAGACAAACAATGCCACGAGCAAGATGTAAGTGCCTATCCCAGTATAAGATAACATCACGGTGAAATGTAGCTTCTCTGATGACACAGGAGAGTCCACAGGATGGTCACTTGTGCTGCCCAGATGGTCCTGCGGATCCACAGCAGAGCCACCCAATACCATTTTATCAAGGATTGGGGCCATAAAAGCACCAAGGGCAAAACTGAAATGTAAGGCTTGTATATGCGGATCAGCCTCCACCCCCCATGTGTCCAAAGCCGTAACATTGCCACCTGGAATGCAAACAAACAAAACAAATAAACATTCAAACAATCACAATCAGATTTGGAAGGCATGGTCTCTCAGCTTTGGAAGGCATCAATAGCTAAAATACAATGAATACAAGAGGTTTGGATGCTCGGGTGTACAGCCAGAACTCCCAAGAATATGTATAATCTTTCCTCAAATGAAAAGCACCACGAAAGAATAAAGCCTGCACAGAACACCAGCACACAACAAACTGAACGGCAGTGATATCGAACGGCACTTTGTCCTTCTGCACAAACAAGCAGAATGCAGGCCCAATAGCTCTGTGCGGATGGTAAAAGGCCCTTCTCATCAAGACAGTAGAGCATGCGGGGATGTGACAGAAGCCTCCCACAAGGAGGTAAAACATAAAAACATCCAGGCATCCCCTGGGCAACGTCCTTGCAGACAGCCAATTCTCCCACACCAGAAGCAACCTGCAGTTTCTCAAGTTGCTCCTGATATGGGAGTGACTTGAGTGAGCGATTTAAGGGATGCAAGATATTCCAAATTCATTAATATAACAGACATGGAGCAGCATGACAAACAGTTACTGTTGTTGGTTTTGTTACCTGTATCCAGGACTCCCATTGAAAAACCAATGACAGACATCATGGCTGTGAGCAAGGTTGCTGTCTTACACCATGGGATGGCATACAGGCCCATGGCTGTAGCCAGCATAGAAAAGCCTACAAGGAAGAGATATGTCAGAATTGGTGGTTTGTATAATAGCTGCCTATATTTTCATATTTAATTTCAAACACAGGTTACATTGAGTTTTTTACTGAATTACAAAAAGATCCCTACATTTTTGTTGTTAACTGTACATGTGAATTTCCAGCAGTTGCAGGATAATAAATCCAGCTTATAGGTTCATAATTGCTGAATACAATGCCAGCCACTGCATCCAGAAATGAAGGAGTACAACAATCGCTCAAAGTGGAAGACTATTTTTCTAATCAGGCTTGGAAAGATTTAAGAGATTGTTGTAGTCCAGGCTTTGATTGTGCCAGTACGTAATCTAACTGGGGATTTTGGGCCTGTTAGGCAGCCTGATGCTGACAGTGGGGATTCTGGGCCTGCAGATGAGCAAGAGAATCAGAAGATTTTAAGCCCTGAGAATGAGAGCTCTCTGTCCCACATTCCAGAAAGGCAGTTTGCTAGAGATGCAAGGTTAGAGGCTGAAATTAGCTCAGGGGAGGAAGATGCAGGGGAGAAAGAAACAACTCTAGGTGGCTGAGCTAACGAGTAAAGGTTATATAGAAGATTAATGTTCCATCAACATAGGGTATCTCGTGAAGTACAGAAGGTCTTTTCCAGAAGGTCAACTCGCCTATTAACCAAGAAGCTCTTATCAGTCTTGGAAGGGCAATGACATGGCTTTCTGTCTATATCAGAAAGGTCAGCCGAGTATTCCCTCAGTCCAGACAATGTTGATTTTGGAGCCACGTCAAATCTTCCAAGGGATTTTTAGTTCCAGGTTTCCTTGTACTCATGCATTCTGATTCCATGTTTCTTATTCCTGCAGACTGTTCTTGTGTTGAATGTTTGGACTTTATCCGCTTTTATATTCCTGGTTTTTGAGGCATTTCATGTACTTTAAACTCTGAGGATTATTTCTGTTTTTTGGACATTGATTTTACACTATTTTTCTGGATTGCTATATATATATATATATATATAAAATGAACTGCTTTGCTATTTTGAACTGGATTGGGTGTTGATTACAGAGATGATTCCCAGCCTTGGAGTGCAACAGGGATCATGTTCTAGGTTAGGAGTTCTCAAACTAAGGCCCAAGAGCCGGATGCGGCCCTCCAAGATCATTTGCTCAACCCCTGGTCTAAACTTTAGACTTAGGGTCACCTAAGTCTGAAACAACTTCAAGTCACACAACAACAACAACAACCTGAATTAACTTGACTACCTGATCAGCCAAAAGCAGGCCCACCATTCCCACTGAAATACTGGTAAGTTTATGTTGGTTAAAATTGTTCATCATTTTAAATACTGTATTGTTATTTCATGGTTTTTTGCAGTACAAATAATATATCTGCAGTGTGCATAGAAATTTGTCTATGTTTTTCTTAAAATATAGGCCGGCCCTCCAACAGTCGGAGGAACAGTGAACCGGCCGTCTGCTTTAAAAGTTTGAGGGCCCCTGTTCTAGGTAATGTCTTGGTACACTTATTAAAACAAATCAGCCTAATTCACATGCCTTAGACCAGTGGTTCTCAATCTGTGGGTCCCCAAATGTTTTGGCCTTCATCTCCCAGAAATCCTAACAGCTGGTAAACAGGCTCGGATTTTAGAGAGTTGTAGGCTCAAACACCTGAGGACCAACAAGTTGAAAACCACTGGCATAGATTGTAATATGCCTAGACTACACCATTGTCTAGCATTCGCCTTCCTTCCATACTGTTCTTTGCACAAATACGTATTACAGAACTATATCTGCATATATATATATATATAGAGAGAGAGAGAGAGACGGAGAGGGGGAGAGAGAGAGAGAGAGACAGCTGTGTTTTGTTTGAAGCCACAGACATGGAATGAAAGACACTTAGCACTGAACACATGAGAAACCGGTAACAGATGGGCGCATCCATCCATAAAAAGTAATGGCAAGGGGATTGTATCTCACCTCTAGATCATTTCCTCTCCTGATCTACCAATTGAGTTCACCTTCACGCACTGGGCATATCCTTGCTGCCACTCCATTACATCGTACATTGATACATGCAATAAGCCATCCACACAAGGAAACACATACAGCCCCCAAAACCATGACATACAACACAACTGTTCATTTCTGCATACTCACCCAAGAGAATTTTGGCATTCATGCAGTCGACGAGTAATCCGCCAATTAAAGTGCCACCAAAATACCCAGAGGAACGGCCTATAAAGATGAAAGAGATCTGACTGACATTTCTGTTCACATTTGCCGCCAAGTCTGGAAATGTGGGCCCCAGGTTAGCAATGGCCATGCCCTGCAAAGCAAAAACAGCCAGTGGTTAACCATGTCAATGTTGGCAGAAGATATCTGGTTGAGGCTGAGAAGAAGGTTGCCTCCTGTTTTCACCGCAGCTCAGGATACATATATATCATCCCAAACAAAGTTGTGTAGGAAAAATACAGAATCCGTGCTGGCTTTAGCCCAGGGTCTTTAAACGTTTTAAACAGAGGGCCAGATCACAATCCCTCAAACTGTTGGAGGGCCAGATAATAATTTGAAAAAACAAAACAAATGAATTCCTATGCACACTGGACATATCTTATTTGTAGTGCAAAAAAAAAAACCACTTAAAAACAATACAATAATTAAAAAATAATTAAAATGGAACAATTTTAACAAATAATTTTAACAAATATTGTATTTCAATGGGAAGCGTGGGCCTGCTTTTGACTGATGAGATAGAATTGTTGTTGTTGTGTGCTTTCAAGTTGTTTCAGACTTAGGTTGACCCTGAGCGAGGGCTAGGTAAATGACCTGGGAGAGCCGTATTCGGCCCCTGGGCCTTAGTTTGAGGACCCCTGCTTTAGCCTAAAGCCCTAAAGGGTTCCAGCCTAGCTTACCTGCCCGAATGTATCTTCTCCTATGAACCACTTTGGAAATTAAGATAGTCTGGGGAGGCCCTGCTCTCGGTCCCACCACCCTCGCAAGTGCGACTGGTGGAGACAAGAGAACAGGCCTTCTCAGTGGGGGTCCCTCGTCTGTGGAACTCCCTCCCCAATGAAATCAGAACAGCCCCCTCCTTCCTGTCTTTAAGACATGGTTATGTGACCAAGCTTTCAAGCAGTAACTATTTATTTATTATTTCTTTGAAACATTTATATTCCGCCCTTCTCACCCTGCAGGGGACTCAGGGTGGAGAAATACATATATATGGCAAACATTCAATGCTGGGACATAAAACCATACATTTAAATCACTTTAAAATCAGTTGCTTAAAAAGTATCTCAGGACAGCATTCTATTATTGCCTCATTGATCCAAAGGCATGGTCCCACAGCCAGGTCTTCACCATCCTTCTGAAGAACAGGAGGGAGGGGGCTGATCTAATATTGCCAGGAAGGGAGTTCCATAGCCGGGGGGCCATCACTGAGAAGGCCCTGTCTCTCGTACCTGCCAAACACACCTGTGACCATGGCGGGATCGAGAGCAGGGCTTCCCCAGAAGATCTTAGTCTTCGTTGTGGTTCAATAAGGGAGATGTGTTCAGACAGATAAACTGGGCGAGGGCCATTTAGGGCTTTCTAGGCCAAAGTCAGCACTTTGAATTGTGCCCGGTAGCAAATAGGCAGTCAGCAGAGCTGACGTAACATGGGAGTTGTGTGCTCCCTGTATGCTACCCTAGTTATTAACCTGGCAGCCTCTCGTTGGACTATTTGAAGCTTCCAAACAGTCTTCAAAAAGCAACCCACACAGAGTGCGTTGCAGTAGTCTATCCTGGATGAGTGTGGACCACCGTGGCCAAGTCTGACTTCCCAAGGTACAGGTGCAGCTGGCGCACAAGTTTTAATTGAGTGAAAAATCCCCTAGCCACTACCGCAAACTGAGGTTCCAGGCTCAGCTATGAGTCCAGGAGGACTCCCAAGTTGCGAACCTGCGCCTTCAAGAGGAGTGTAAACCCATCCAGCACAGGCTGTAACCATATGCCCTGCTTTGCCTTGCGACTGATCAGGAGGGTCAGTCTCTGTCTTGTCATGATTCAATTTGTTTGCCCTCCTCCAGACTGTCACAGTGGCCAGGCACTGGTTCACAACTTGGACAGCCTCCTTAGCATCTGGTGGAAAGGAGTAATAGACGTCATTATTTGTTTATTTATTTATTTTACAGTATTTATATTCCGCCCTTCTCACCCCACAGGGGACTCAGGGCGGATTACAATGTACACATATATGGCAAACATTCAATGCCAAGACACACAACATAGACAAGACAGTCAGAGGCTATTTAACTTTTTCTGGCCACCAGGGGAGCTGTCGCTTTCATCATCCATCTGCGACACTGATGAAGTACTTCCGCATTCCCCGCATGCTTTTGCTAGAGTGCATTGCTGGAGTCTTTGTATGGCCTCGTAAATTTTGTTTTGTAAATTAGCCTCCCCACACATAGGTGGTACCTAAATTTCCTACTTGATAGATGCAACTGTCTTTCGGGTTGCAAAGGTTGACAAAAAGCTACACAACCGGTTGGACGCTCACTCCGACCCGGACCTTTTGGTCAGAAGTGATCTGAATGCAGTTGACACTCAGCCAGCTGTGCCACAATCCCGGTGCATCTGCATACAGAAGGCATCAAACTCCCAAACTCCGGATGATCTCACCCAACAGCTTCATGCAGAAGTTAAACATGGGGGACAATACTGAGCCCTGCGGGACCCCACAGAACAATGGCTGCGTGGCCAAGCAGGTGCCCCCCCTCCAAACAACACTTTCTGGGTACGATCCTCCAGGAAGGGCTGGAGCCACTGCGGAACAGTACCTGCAAGGCCCATCCTTGCGAGGCGATTCAGAACTATAGCAATGCCATACTTGAGAACTCGCAAAGTGACAGAGTAATGAACTGATAATGGACTATGATTTTGAATGTGCGTGATTTTATTTATTTACGACATTTATATGCCGCCCTTCTCACCCTGAAGGAGACTCAGAGTGGCTTACAAGATATATACACATACAATATATTACATGATTAGCATAATACAATATCAGTATTATATATTACTATATTGTACTATACCATTATATTGTAATATTATTACTAATTTTACATGTAATATAAAATATTAGTAGTATTATATTGTATTACATTATAAATATATGTATATACAATATATCATATTATATTATTAGCATAGCACAGGAGAAAGGTGGAATTATTTCAATGAATGTTTTAACCATTTATGTTTTATATTTCTGGTTTTGTTTGTTTGTTTTGGAATCAGTTTTGTTTGCTGGGCATCGAGTTGTGGCCAGTTGTGAAGTCCCCTTCAATGAATATCTGATAGAGCAGGCCTGGGCAAACTGGGGCCCTGCTTCCAGGTGTTTTGAACTTCAACTCCCACCATTCCTAACAGCCTCAGGCCCCTTCCTTTTCCCCCTCAGCCGCTTAAGCGGCTGAGGGGGAAAAGGAAAGGGCCTGAGGCTGTTAGGAATGGTGGGAGTTGAAGTCCAAAACACTGGAGGGAAGGCCCAAGTTTGCCCAGGCCTGCTCTATCAGTCAAGAGGTCCCGGCCTGCGAAAGAACCATGGGGTTTGTGCTCTCACCAGGCCTAAGAAGGCGGCGCAGAGTACCCCCGAGGTGCACCACTTCAGTGCCCTCCGAGGGGCCCGCGCTGCCGCCGCTTCCGCTTCCGCCCGGTTCGTCCGCGCGGCGCTGCCCCTGGCAACCCTCACTTCCGGTTGGAGGGGCTCCGGCGCCGCCCCCTCCCCGCGGCCTTCCTCCTCCTCCTCCTCGCCGCCTTCTCCCTGCGCGAGGAAGACCTCTTTCCTCGCCCCCTCCTCCATCACTGCCGGGGAGAAGGGGGGAACTGTCACGCTCCGGCCTCAGCGGCGCTCGCGATTGGACGCTCGCCCCTAGTTACATCATAATGGTCCTCGGACCCCCATTGGCCGAAGCCGGCCAATAAAGAACTGAATCGCTTAGACTTGCTCCAAGTGGTTTAATTCTATGCCACTGCGTTATGCGCCAAGAAAGTCATTGTAATTCAACAATGTGATGCCAACAGTAGTATCCTTCATGAATTCTGTCAAAAGCAGGGGGTTTAATAGCCGCCTTTTAAAGGAGTTACTGAATGTGTTGTCGAAGGCTTTCATGGCCGAAAGTACTGGGTTGCTGTGAGTTTTCCGGGCTGTATGGCCATGTTCCAGAAGCATTCTCTCCTGACGTTTCGCCTGCATCTATGACAGGCATCCTCATGGCGCCCCCGGTGGCGCAGTGGGTTAAAGCCCTGTGCCGGCAGGACTGAAGACCGACAGGTCGCAGGTTCAAATCCGGGGAGAGGCGGATGAGCTCCCTCTATCAGCTCCAGCTCCTCATGCGGGGACATGAGAGAAGCCTCCCACAAGGATGATAAAAACATCAAATCATCCAGGCGTCCCCTGGGCAACGTCCTTGCAGACGGCCAATTCTCTCACACCAGGAGCGACTTGCAATCACTCCTGACACGATAAAAAAAAAGGCATCCTCAGAGGACAACCTCTGAGGATGCCTGCCATAGATGCAGGTGAAACATCAGGAGAGAATGCTTCTGGAACCTCTGAGGATGCCTGCCATAGATGCAGGCGAAACGTCAGGAGAGAATGCTTCTGGAACATGGCCATACAGCCCGGAAAACTCACAGCAACCCGGTTAATGAATTATCTTGCCTCAACATACTTACTTAACTTAGGCGATCCCTCGTAGTCCGAGGATGATGGTCCTCCAAGTCTGTTGTCTTGGCGGTGGGTTCATAGATGGCTACGGAGTCCTATTCTTGACAGTGAGGACATTGGTTTCCAGGTGGAAGGCAGTCCTGGTCAGGGTTAGCTTGACGTGCCTTCCTCTTGGGACGTTTCTCCTTTCCGCCCTCCATTCGTGCCTCTTCAAATTCTGCAGCACAGCTGGTCACAGCTGACCTCCAGTTAGAACACTCAAGGGCCAGGGCTTCCCAGTTCTCAATTTTTAAGGTTGGCTTTAAGCCCATCATTAAATCTCTTTTCCTGTCCACCATTATTCCCATTCTTGAGATAGGAATATAGTACCTGCTTTGGGAGACGTTGATCGGGCATTCGGACAACGTGGCCAGTCCAGCAGAGTGGATGCTGTAGGAGCATCACTTTGATGCTAGTGGTCTTTGCTTCTTCCAGCACGCTGACAATTGTCCACTTGTCTTCCCGAGAGATTTGCAGGATTTTTCGGAGGTAACGCTGATGGAATCATTCCAGAGGTTGAGTGTAACGTCTTTAGATAGTCCACATTTTGCAGGTGTATAGCAGGGTTGGGAGGACAATAGCTTTATAAACAAGCTCCTTGGTCTCCCTACGGATGTCCCAGTCCTTAAACACTCTCTGCTTCATTCAGAAAAATGCTGCACTCACAGTGCTCAGGCGGTGTTGTATTTCGCTGTCAATGTTGACTTTTGTGGAGATGTGGTTTCCAAGGTAGTGGAAACGGTCAACATTTTCTAATGTTACACCATTAAGCTGTATTTCTGGCATTGGAGAGGGATTGGCTTGTGACTGCTGCAAGAGCACTTTGGTACAGTGATCTTGTTTATCACTGTGAAGTGCAGTGGCTGTGTCACAGGAACATGTTCATGAGGTTTTATGAACTGAGGGATTAAGTCAAGCGGTTCATGGAGATGAAGGGAAAGCCTGTCAAGGAACTCAATGACAGCAAGTAGTTGTGCAAGCTAGTGTCCATAGTCAATACCAAGTAACTCTCAGATCTGAATGTCAAGCTGCACGGTCCCAACTAACTTCTCAGCTCCCCACTTCATTTGAATCTAAATTAAAGCCATGGAAAGTACTACTTGAAATGAATAGCATGATGCATTTCCTCACTCAGGAAAGACAAAAGCCTTCTGTTGTTGTTCATTCGTTCAGTCGTCTCTGACTCTTCGTGACCTCATGGACCAGCCCACGCCAGAGCTCCCTGTCGGCCGTTACCACCCCCAGCTCCCTCAAGGTCAGTCCAGTCACTTCAAGGCTGCCATCCATCCATCTTGCCCTTGGTCGGCCCCTCTTCCTTTTGCCTTCCACTTTCCCCAGCATAATTGTCTTCTCTAGGCTTTCCTGTCTCCTCATGATGTGGCCAAAGTACTTCAACTTTGTCTCTAGTATCTTTCCCTCCAATGAGCAGTCGGGCTTTATTTCCTGGAGGATGGACTGGTTGGATCTTCTCGCAGTCCAAGGCACTCTCAGCACTTTCCTCCAACACCACAGTTCAAAAGCATCGATCTTCCTTCGCTCAGCCTTCCCTAAGGTCCAGCTCTCACATCCGTAGGTGACTACAGGGAATACCATGGCTTTGACTAGGCGGATCTTTGTTGTCAGTCTGATGTCTCTACTCTTCACTATTTTATCGAGACTGGACATTGCTCTCCTCCCAAGAAGTAAGCGTCTTCTGATTTCCTGGCTACAGTCTGCATCTGCAGTAATCCTTCTACAGCCCTTGAATATACTTATGAATATGTGAAACTACTTGAGGCATTTAACAAAAGATTCAAGGAACTAATTCAGGTGCAAGTGATGATGAGTTGAAAGCTAAGTACAACAACCTGCCACTGCTTGAGTTCACGAGTAGCGATCTATTTCCCACTTTGAGGACATTTTTATTGAAACATGTATCTGTGTTTGGAATAACTTACTACTAGAAGTGATTTTTTCAAATCTTACCACCACCAAGAGCCAACAATGCTCCAGACTGAGCGATAAAAACATGGGAAAACAGTTGTGAGTAGCAACATCATCAATGCCGGCTAACATCACATGCCTCACCAAAGAGAATCAGTTCCAGCCATCACATTAGAAGTGTGTTAATTAAATGTTTGACCAAATTTAGCAGACCAATTTTGAATTGATAAGTTTTGCATTGCCCATGAATTATATTAAAAGGTAAAGGTTTCCCCTGACATTAAGTCTAGTCGTGTCTGACTTCGGAGGGTGGTGCTCATCTCCATTTGTAAGCCCAAAAGCCGGCATTGTCCATAAGCACCTCCAAGGTCATGTGGCCAGCATGACTGCATGGAGCAACATTACCTTTCCGCCAAAGCAGTACCTACAAAAAGTTTGGGCTCAAACTGGGGAAGGGATGAGGGAGCACACACACAGTAGTATATATTTTCTGTCAGGCCAGCATTATACAAGATGAACATTTGGCTAAAAGATGTTTTTGGTAAGATAGAGAAAGGAGTGTTGCCTTTCCATGGCATGTTAGTTCTGATTCTAGTGAAACGGGTGTTCCAGAGTTTTGAAGTAATCAAATGAGTGGGCCTTCAAGTCATTTTCAGCTTATGGTGATCCTATAATGGGGTTTTCTTGGCAAGATCTGTTAAGCAGGGGTTTGCATTTGCCTTCCTCTGAGGCTGAGACAATGTGACTTGCCAAATGTCATTCAATGGGTTTCTACCGAAATCCAAATCTTGGTCACCAGAGCTATAGTCCTTTGTTCCAAATACTACAACATGCTGTCACCTAAGTAAGTTATTCTCCTCCAAATAATGAAAGTATTAACTACACCATGCTATGTAACAAGGCATAACTTTTCAGCTTTGGTGTGACTGGGTTACTTTTTTTAGGGGATGCTGTCTTGGTAAAAGGTGGAGGAAGAATATGAATTGGTTCTAGTGCAGCCTTGGAGTGCAACTCACTGTGTCAAATGCCTTTGCAAGGTCAATGAATGCCATGTACAGAGGTTGATTGTATTCCCTGCATTTTTCTTGGAGTTGCTGTGCAGTGAAGACCATGTCTCTGGAGGGGCGGAAGCCTTTCTGGGATTCAACTCCTAGAACCGTTCCATCAGCGTTGCTCCAAAAAATCCTGCAAATCTCTTGGGAAGTCAGGCAGACAAATGTCAGATGTCGGAAGAAGCAAAGACTACCAGCATTGACTCTACATCAACTCTGCTGGACTGGCCACGTGGTCCGAATGCCCAATCACCATATCCCAAAGCAGTTATTTATGTATTTATTTACGACATTTATATGCCGCCCTTCTCACCCCGAAGGGGACTCAGAGTTACTGTACTCCGAACTCAAGAACAGGAAAAATAATGTTGGTGGACAGGAAAAGAGATTTAAAGATAGGATTAAAGCCAACCTTAAAAATGTAGCAGAGACATGGAGAACTGGGAAGCCCTGGCTCTTGCACACTCTAACTGGAGGTCAATTGTGACCAGTAGTGCTGCAGAATTCAAAAAGACACTAATGGAAGGCAAAAGGAAGAAACATGCCAAGAGGAAGGCACATCAAGCCAACTCTGACCGGGACCACCTTCCACCTGGAAATCAATGTTCTCACTGTGGGAGAACATGCGGATCAAGAATAGGGCTCCACAGCTACATACAAATCCACCACCAAGACAACAGACTTGGAGGACTATCATCCTTGCGCTACAAGGAATCATCTAAGTAAGCAAGGAAGGAAGTCTTGGACTGTACCTTATATTCAGTTGCAGGTGTTGAGGTGGTTGCAAGGGAATGGAAGCAGTGTGTTTTACCATTTTAAAAGTAATTTGAAATAATTAGTTACTTTTGAGAAAGAAGAAAATAACACTATTTTTCAAAAATTGGAAGTATGAATCCCCAACAGTTAGAAGTGGTGAAAATTACATTATTTCTTTAGAGTCATTTTCCAATCCCTGGAAAAGGATTCTTAAATTGCACACCCGTTGCAGTGTATTTTGTTCCATCTGAATGATTGGTATGTAATTTTGATCTATTATTAATTATAAAAATCAAAAACGTAGTGAATGGATGAAATTTGAATAAAGTGTCTGTACATCAATTGACCCAAAAACCAGTAACATTCCCTGAGCAGGTAGAATATATCTTTTATATTTTTTACAGTTTGATGAAATGGCATACGTGAACATTTTTCACTTTTGAAAAAGGTGAATGATTACATTTAAATTATTACATTTCAGACGGGTATACAAATAGAAATAAAGTTACAATGAAAACAGTTTACAACATCACTAGGGAAGATGGGTCCAGGAACATATGAGGAGTGAAGGTTATTCATCTAAGAATTATTACTTCGCCCTTTGCAGATCATTATGTGCAACAGATTACATTCCAGTGATAAGGCAAAATGTGAAATGACGTACTTACTAATCTTTGAGATTAGTCATATTCCAGCTCATAAACAAGCAACAAACTCCCTTGCATCTAACTATGCAGAAAGTACATTTTTGCTTCTACATTGTATCGCTTCGATTTCTGAAAGAGTTATTACTTATTAAGGTGGACCAAGTGTAATATATTTACATTCTTTTTATGTCACAGTATACATTTGTATTCAAAGTTGATACATGAAAGTGAACTTTAGCACCAGCACTTAAAATGAATATAAGCATAAGACAATGAGAAACAAAACTGACACTTTTAAGTCAACAGGACATACACCCCTGTGATGGATTGCACAGAGAATTTATTAAAATATTGGCTGGAATTCACTAAGGCAATTATTTATTATAAGCAGTCACTCCTAAATGGAGATTGGGAGTCTTTCACAACAACTACATATTCTTTCAAGCAGAGGATATGTAGAGATTGTGAATACAAGTTAGTTATGATCTTCATGGTCCCTACATATAATTAATAATAATAGTAAATTTATTTGTACCCCGCCATATCATCCCAAAGGGATTTGGAGCGGTTTACATCAAGGGTTAAAGAACAATACAATTCACTGCTGTAAAGCATATGTAGAGACTGTGAAAGTCCCCCAATCCTTGTTTATGGCCAATTGACAGGGGTCTGTTTTGCTTGTCAATCAGGAAGCAGCTTTGGTGCAAGGGCAGGATTGTGACAGGAACCCTGTTTTGCCTGTTGCAATGGAGATTCCTCGTAGGAGGGGAATGGAGGGGATTGTCATTCAGCCGAATCCTGAGACCAGAACACTGTGGATCGCAGCGCCTGCTGCCCAATATGTCAGGATTGGGGAGGTTGGGCTGGGAGACATTACACAACTATAGTGATTATGTAGCACACCAAAAATCCCCACCATGAGTTCCTAATGCTAGAAAATAGTGGTGGTATGTTCATTCCAAAACATGACATTTTTCCCTATTGGATGAACTTAGAATATACCAAAACCTATTATACAGAAAACTTGGGTGTTTCCAAGAGGTAAAACATCAACACCTTTGAGAATGTTACCTTTGAGGCAATCAGTAATTCTTAAAATTACTTGCCCTTTTCAGCAAGTAGAGTTTCCAAAAGTTGAGGGCAAGATTCCAAGAGTAGCATAATGTTAAGTTCACATTTAATTTACAACCACTGAATTTCTTCCACACAATTCTGCATTTGTAGTTATGCTTGCAATTTTTGAAATTTACATAAGTCAAATTTGTATCTTTTTTTAGCACAGCATGAATATATGCCACCTTTGTGGTGGCATACCAGTTGTGGAGTAGGTGCCAAGGATTTGAGTTGCCCCATTGGCAATGCTAAAATAGCTACCTACCCACCAAGTCAAACAGGAGGGAGAAGACACTCTGCATGCCTGTGGAGTGATTGGCTCTCCGAGAGACCACACTAATGCAACCTCTGAGAAACCAGAACCACTCTCATGATTGTTTTTACTCAAGGTAGTGCTCCAACAGTAGTTCAGCCATTGTGTTTTCACATAAACCTGGTGTATCACCTGATGTTAATAAATTCAAAGTCCACTGAAGTTCAGAAATAACAATTAGCACGATTTTAAAAGTTACAGTCTTTTGCCTATATAATGTATAACGCAATCACTCAAAAAGGACTTCCTTGGAGCATGCCTCATGTTCCAAGGAAGTGCACAGGCCAAATAGTTTCTTCAAAGAAATGCTGTAATTTAGACTTCTGCCCTGACAGCTGCCTTGGGAGCTCTTCGAACTTTAGGATTTTGTGCCTGAGCAGTCAATAGCTGAAAGCTGAAAGTTCTAAAATAAATCAACCCCAAAACATATTCAGAATATTAAAAAGAACAAGAGGAAAAAAGAGGAAGTCATTTGTGGCTGCTACTCACTCCAAAGACTATGCTGCAGTAGGCTTCTTTTCCAATAGTTTTTTTCTCTAGTAAATAAAGTGAAAACAGCTGTTACAAGTTTCTCTGCCCCATTTCTTTTACTCCTATAGGTTAACCTTAAGGTTGCAATAAGTCAGAAAGAACTTGAAGGCACGTAAAAATGACAATATGGTTAACCCTCCGTTGCCTCAATAAAACACTTCTGAAAGAGAGATTGGTGTTTCTTGTGCCATTAGGACAAGATATTCTACCTCCTGAATTCTCCAGTCAGACCAGCACTACAGCTATCAGAGTGCTAGGAAGTCATGGTCAAAGGGAAGCAAATTCTCCCATCTACCATCCATCAAAATTGAGACTTTTACCAGCATGGCATGTACTTAGGAGTTCTTGCCAAGCACTCAGGATAGCCTTTTCCCAAGCAAATGTATATAGAATAAACTGAGTATTCAAGTGGTAGAAAGAGAAAGATTTTAGTTTGGCAAATAGTTTTAGACAATTCAAACTAAACTAGAGCTCAAATGTTTTTCCAGAATCAACAACTGCCATTTCTTCTCTACAAGCACTAGGGTGTGTAGATATAGAAAGAGTAGCCTAAATAGAAGACAATAGCAAGGAATGGAAGGACACAGCACCACGAGAGAAGGAGTCCAGAAAAATCAGCATGGTGCCACTTGTAGTTTGAATCATAAGTGAAATATTATATTGCCATGTTGTCTCAGCTTCTATCCTGATTCCATTTCTCTTCCTCAGATCTCATGTTATGCACTTAAGAAGAGAGTCTTGTCTCTTCATATAGAATAGCAGTGGTGGTCAATTATTTGTTAGTAAAAAGCCACAGTAGCCACTAGGACAGTGGTTATCTGTGGGTCCCCAGGTGTTTTGACCTACAACTCCCAGCAATCCCAGCCAGTTTACCAGCTGTTAGGATTTCTGGGAGTTTCTCAGTGTCCTAATGTAATATTGCAACCATGACACGTCATTGGCTCTCTTTGCAGCGCCTGCTTGAGGAAGTTGTGGAGTTACTGTTTAAGGCAAGTGTCTCATTTCTTCCTTCAAAATGATTTTTTAAAAGACACATGCCAAGATTATGCTGGCACATACCATTAATACAGTGGTTCTCAACCTGTGGGTCCCCAGGTGTTTTGGCCTACAACTCCCAGCAATCCCAGTCAGTTTATCAGCTATTAGGATTTCTGGGAGTTGAAAGCCAAAACATCTGGGGACCCACAGCTGAGAACCACTGTACTAGGACATCATGGATGACTGCGACCCAATCTTCTGTTACTCTTTAAAAAAAATTAGGGGGGTGAATACCCACGGGTTTTGTGGATAATTTCCTATTGAAAAATGGACTAGCCTAGATCTGAACCAGTAGACAAAATGTGGCAGAACTGTCCTATACTAGCTAGAGATCATTGTGAGGTACATGGATTGATTTTTTTCCCCAAAATAATTTGCGTGGTCCTGGGATCCACAAAAATAGCCTTGAGGGTTCACTGAGCCTGGTATCTGTGTTAATGCAAGAAGAGGATCAGGCATGACAGGTCTGAAACAAGAATAGTTTTAGTCCTACTCTATGTATGCCTTCTGATTTGAAAATTTTAAAAGATGAAAGAAATCACCATAAAATTTACTGCACTTTGGGCCAAATCTGTCACTGGAAAAAATTTCATTACTGTACTTGGATTATAATCCCTAGGCACTAATGATGACATAAGAAAATGGGGGTTTCTTTCATTTATGCCTCTCCACACTTTCAGAACTTACTTGGTGTTATGAGAACACTTCATTTAATTATATAAATTATGAATCAACACAAAACTACCTCAATGCAAGACAATAAAAACCCTACTGCAGAATGCAATAAGGGACTCACTGGAAAATTAAGCATTCAAAGATTGACAAACATGCAAAATGGGAAGTACTGATTAAAAATTATATTTCATAGATTCATCCTCCAGCAACAATTTGTTGCAGACATTGAAACTGTAACTCTGTACAGCAATACACATTCTTGATCCCACTGAAATCAATAGACTTTAGTATGTCTAACTCTGCATAGGATTTGGTTTTAGAGAATCTAAAATGCAATGAATCCAGTGAGACTTCACAAAACCTTTAAAGTATCAACTTTAAAATGTTCTAATGCAAGAAAATTTCCAGAAGGATAATTCCATTGGACGGATTTTAAAATTACTGAAGGCATTCTGAAAAGATCAATTAGTAAGAGGCACAATTCTTCAGTTCCAGAAATGCATTAACATATGTCTGTGGGGTTTTTTTGACGTTTTTGAGTTCTGCTTAACATACACACTCACCAGTACATATGCTGTATAAAGCCATATTTTATGTGTAAATGCAACTGGAAACTGTATCCAAACAAAAATTAAAAGCGTTCTTTGATGCAAGCAATTTTGTTTTAATCTGCATCACAACTCTGATAGTTCTTGTGGTGGCTTTGCTTTTGAAGAACAATCATGTGGTACATTCAGTTCAAAAACAGAACCCTAACCTAGTTTTTATAAAAATAAATTCAATCTGGTAGAAAAAAAATCAATCATTAAATAACGGACTCTGATTCTTTGCCAGGTTTCACAGATGAGTCCAATCCTGAGGTACTTTTGATTTCAAGCATTTTCTCTGTAGTTTCCCCATCCACAGGACTTGCTTGTTCTTTGGATTTTTCCTTTCCATGCACCCATGGGATGAAACACAACACAATTCCTCCAACAATAGGGGGAACTCCTGCTAGGTAGAAGGCCACATCATAAGTACCTAGATGATCACGTAGTTTTCCTGAGAAAGAAAGAAAAAAACAGAACATTACTACCACAACATGGCAGAGTTTAGTGACACAAAGAGATGCTGTGATTTAATTAAGAGATAGTTCAGCAGCCTGAATTACAATACCGCACAAACCATACAATTTAATATAGCAATCCAAAGCTTCACTCCATCCAAATGGAAAATATTATTGAGATTAGGAAACCATACTGGGTTGTATCCAGAGTTGTACTAAACACACTTCAGGAAGGAAATTAGGCAATATTTTTCTCAATTTTCCTCAACACATACAACTACTCTGTAGTTAAAGCAGAGAGACATCAAACGAAGGAAGAATAAGTGAAAATGGGCATCCTCCACTGAATCCTGCTTCCCCTATGAATTGAAAGAGTCATTCTGACCAGAGAAGTGGAAAACTGGATATTGTTGATTTGACATCTTTTTGGAGAAGGAACATCTTGTATTCTCTTGCCCCGGCTCTTGGTTTATGCCTTGAAGCAAGAGGATGTTGCTCATGTTATTCTGCAGTTCTTAATCCATAATTCCTGTAACTATCCAGAGCTCACTGAGAATGTCAAGGAAGGTAAATTGAGGATTATGCTGGTCCTCAAAGCTGTATTCTGTATGTCATTTGAACCTTCCTATTACTGTACACAAAACATACTGAATGTTAGTTGCAACCACTGCTGAGAATATAGTACATCACATCACCATCTCTTACTTTTTTGTTCTCTTCTGGGGAAGGTTCAAAGTACTGCCACTGATTTACAAATTATTAAGTGACTTCTATATCCATAAATAATTGTATTAATTCCCCGCCCCCCCCAGCATTTTCTGTATAAAATGCTGTTGCTTTTATACAGAATATTTTTGCTTTTATATTTCTAATTGGTTTAATTATACAGTGATGCCTTGAGTTAAGAGTTTAACTTGTTCTGTGACTGAGCTCCTAACTCAAATCGTTCTGCTCTGAGTGAATTTTCCCATTGAAATGCACTGAAATGCTATTAATCTGTTCCAGCTCCCCCAAACCACTCCCCATTTTTTGTTATGTGTTTTTAAATAAGAAAATGTACTTTATAAATAACAAATAATGGATAAATGTGCATTCACATGGAACAATAAAAAAGATCAACTATAAAATGGTAGAAGTGCAAAGTTGTGGCAAGGAAGCACCAAGTACAAAATGAAGAAGCTGAAGCATCTTTTTCTTCATACTGTACTCATTCCAGCCTCCCTCCCTCCCTTGCTCTCTCCCTCTCTCTCTTCATGAAGCCAAACATACTAGGAATAAAAATAACACAAAATCAACTACTCCAAAATTCCTCAACTACACAAGAGGAAAGCAGATAGCAAATTTCCAAAGTGGGCATAAATAAATAAATAAATGTTAGTATCCTTTCTCTAGCATCCTCTAGTGGCCTCCGCCTGGATGATGGAACAGTACCAGAAAATCTAGCAACATAATTCCAGGAGAAGTCATTCAATAACTAGGGATGAGAGGGAAATAGGAGGTCTGAGACCTCGTTCCTTAAAAATCCACATTCTTCAGGTCTCATGCATGCCTCTCACAACACAGGCAGACAGCTCTGATGCCTCTGCAGCTCAAACAATAGCAGCATTGGATTCCCCAGTAAGAGCAGGTTGGTTCATTCTTTGAGTACACTCCAAAGGCGTATGCCCAGTTGTACAGTCAGCCTCTGGCTCCTCATCTGAGAAGTTGGGACTGCATTCATGATCCATCATAATAACCCATTGAGGCTAACCATCCTCATTAAGGTGGAAAGACTTAGTTAAGAAAGAAGTATTATGAAATAAAGAAATCTTCTCACGACAGTAAAAACAGGCCAGAATCTTTTGAATAAATGTCCCCAAAAGGTGAACAGATGGAGTGCAGAAAGGACATTCCTGTCAGGGCGAAGGCAAGGGGGAACTGGGAAGGAGGAACTAGTTGTCCCACTTAGAGAGGAATGAATGACTGACAAACGAAGGCCTATCTATGAGGAGCAAGGGAGGAGCAAGGCCCAACATGAGGACTGCCTTCTAATAATGCAGGAAAAATGACACAGAATGTACAACGAAGTTAACATTTAACTTCAAAAGGAAAAACCTGTCAAAATGAAGGGATGGTTTTAAAAAACCTTGGAAAAGAGGATTAGTCAATCCAATCTCTTCAGGATACTTGTGGATTATTTAAGAACTATGACAACATGCTTCTGATGCAGAACGATGCGGACAAGTTTTAAAAGATAATATCCTTTTAAAATGACAGAGTCAAAGAAGCCATAAAAATGCAAAGTGGATTATTTTTAAAGGGGGGAAACTCTTGGCTAACTAATCAAGAACAGAAAACAAAATTATTAGCAAAACAAATATCAATGGACAATAAGCAAAAATCTCACCCATGTAAAATAGGTGGGATTATTGATAAATCTATCAGTCCTTTTTTGTTTAACACCAGAATTTCAAACATTAATCTATTTAGCAGCTGATGCAACATTGTCCATACAAGTCCATTTTTATAGGGCATTGATCTCCTGCTTATTAACAAAGCAGGTATCTTCAATGTTACTTTTGTACATGGCTTTTGGCCAGTTTCTTCAATTCTATGCTCCTACCGGAAAAATTCCCACATCTCAACCTCAGCATTTTAGGGTTGAAGTTTGGAGCTGCCACTGACTCGTGGATAATCAGCATACCCAAAACTAGGCACTAGAGGGAAGACTACATGAGATCATTCCTGCAGCTGCCAATATTTTTCCCTTTAAAATATGGCTGCTTTCAGATTGGACACTACTTTCAAAGACATTATAGGGTAATAAAGGCCAAGATAAGTCCTTGAGAATCTGAAGCAACAAATTACCAGTAGTGGAAATCAACAGTGGTCAAATGTATTTTAAAGTTCTTGGTATTAGAGAAAGACCTCTCCTAGCCACAGCTAAAAAGGAACCGAACATGCAAGATACTTCTCTGATGTGTTGACTGGAGTGGTGCCAAAAACAAGGATATTAATATCGCATGGCTGAAGTTTTGCAGTTCAGAGGTGTATACGCAGATCCTATTTGTGTGGCTATATGGAGGTCATGAAATACAGTTTCCTGTAACACTTTAGGAGGAACTTGGCTTTGTTTCAAAAATGTATAGAATGGCAAACTAAAAACAGGCACTAAATTCATAAACTGAAGTGTGCTTTCTATACAAGCAAAATATTCTAATCCTGCAATGCTTTTTCCATCATCCTATAAGGCAGCAAAAATCAATGCTTATAAGGCTAGAACTTTCCTTTTTGGTTGTATTTTTTTCTTTTCAATTATATAATCCAAGTCATAACTGGGTCAAATATCAGTATGTCCAAAATGCCCACATATCTTTTGGAAACAGATAATGCAGGTCTAGCCTCTTCATCAGGTGGGCAGAAATACTCTACATGGCCACTGCAACTAACTTAAAGCTTCTCAGTGGACTAGAATAAAGGAGCAACTTAAGGAAAACAAAAAGCTTCTATTTTATCAAAGTACAGAAGGCTGGTATCAGTCTAAAACAAACTCCAACAACTGTTCATTGTCAGCATTCAGACTACCCATTCAGGCTAATTAGCTCGTAATAAGTTAAGCAGTGCCACACTATTGTATACTTTATAAATTTCAGATGTGATGACTATACTTTATTCACTTAAAAATATTCTGCTTACCTGCAATAGGTGGGCCAACTGTCATTGGTATAGACATAAAGCCCAAGAGGAATCCAATTGCCTGAGAAACATACTGTGCACCAACGAGCTCAAAGGCAATGGGTGCCATGATGCTAATGAAGCAACCATCAAAAAGACCCATGAAGAGGCAGACAGCAATGAGGCCTCCAAAGGTATAGCATAAGGGAATCATCATAGACATCAGGCCAATGAAGAAAAATGAAATAACCTGTACATTGGAAAGGAGGAAGAAAGCGTCAAATTGTATTACAGAGATATAGAACAAAGGGACTGGATTCAGGCTAATGTGATTGTACAGCTATTCCAGAGGATTTGAGGGCTATCTCCTTCCTCTCATGGAAGGCTCTTTAACCCAGGAGATTATTTTATGAAAGAATTTTTTGGTGATAAATTCCTTTCCTCTTCAACTTCCACTCACTAACACATATGGAGGCTGCAAGAAGAAGGGGAAGTTCACAAAAAGCTGCTTCTTCCCCATCATGTGCAGAATGATGGGACACAACCACCAGCTACTACGATATTTATTCCAAAGAACCAACATTTTTTGAAAAGATCGAAGTTTCATTGCAAGATAATGACATTTCTCCATCATTCAGACAGCAATATTTGCATGACATGGCTATCACTGAACACTATTTGTTATATGCTATGATGGCTGATACAGGCCCTCTCAATATTTATAACAATGATCTAAATCAGGCACCCTCAAACTGTGGCCCTCTAGATGTTTCAGCCTCCAACTCTCAGGAATCCTAGCCAACTTGTTCAATGCTCAGGAATTCTGAGAGTTGGAGGTCAAAACAGCTGGAGGGCCACAGTTTGGGGGTGCCTGATGTAAACTGTTGTGCTAAAGACCAGCTACGAAATGTTGTACAGCTGCAACTTCCATCAGTCTTAGTCAGTGTAGCCAATAGTAAGGGATTATGATAGCTACGGTCCAATAACATTTGGAAGATCACACTCTCTATGTGAATAGATAGGAAATTATCTGCCTTTAGATAGAGAACAATCTCAGTTTTTCATGCTAGCTTTTAACAATAAGCCAGGTAAGTTGAATTTAGCAATATGGCAATGTCTTCCCTTTGTCATAGTTTTGCTTGAATCCTATTTGTCAATTTCAATCAAATGAATCATTCAAATAAATTGTTAAGTGCTAAGTCAACATGAAGGTAAATTTCACTGCTTTAATGGGCATATTCTAAATGCAGGCAAACAACAGGATTTATGTCAGTGTTATGTCACTTCATACATTACTAGAATAAAGGGGGAGGCATTATTTGAAGGCTATGTACTTCTTGACTCAACTATTTAAGTAATTTTCCTCCAGGGGGCAGGGGGAACCGAGCCCAACACACAGGAAGACAATCTTTTCATAGCCCAGTTCAATCTCATGGGGTGCAAGTTTACTGCAACAGAATTCAAGCTTATAGGATGAATGTCTGCTAAAATCACACCAGCCAATACAAGACTAATATAACCTAACTGCTATACTATATTGCCTCTCACAAATGTGGCTTCAGTCAAATAAAGCAATCAAAATTCATGTATGATTTTAAAACAAAACAAATCAGTACATTGGCCTATAGTATTTAAACAGTCGTAAAATACTAGATATAAATCCTGTGTTAAGATTAGGATCTTGGGGTTCAAATTTTTTGTAAGGGAAAGAGTCAATCACTGCTGACTCACTCTTCCTCTGCTCAGGAATGCTGTTTTCTAAACTGAAGCTTCAAAGAAGAATCCATTTAGCTTCTCTTCCTGCTATCTACAGACTCCAGTGAATCAACCATATGTATCCCTTCCTAATCACTGCAGGTGAGGAAATATTTATTCAGGCTACAGTAGACTGAACAAAAGGATTTACTTCGATGCCATATCTTGCAAAGTGGCCCTGCTGAGCCTTGAATCTAAAGATATCCTTCTTTGCATTCTGATTAAAGATCTCTGTGGGACTCAAACTTCAAGAGGAACTATTGTTTCATCTTTGTCTTCCTTAAATCCAACAGGCTTCCTGCCTGATAAGGATTTCACAAAGCAAACTTCAGAATGCCCACAACTGCATTGGATCACAGCTAGCAGTTTGGACTATGTGGGTCCAAACTGCTTGTTTAGCTATTCTACTGAAGTGGTACCTATGCTTGAGCCAACTGTAAATTAAAATGGCTCACATTCAAACCAATTAAGAGAACAAAACAGTAGGAGTAAAAGAGCACAGAAAATAGTATGGGCAGGGCACCCAAAGTAGTAACTGTCAAACATCTGTGCCCCATATTCAATCTGGAAATTTGATAAAAAATAGATGAATGTGGAAAGCATTAATTGATCACTCAAAGCTGACCTCTTCTTTTAACTACTCAGTTCTTCTTTAAACAAATCAGCCCCTTCACACTCCCAATGATGTAAATAGGAAAAATATGAGTATAAAGGACTCTATGAAGTCCAAAGGTTTCAAGAGTCATTCTCACTTCTCTTATTTATTTATTTATTTATTTATTTATTATTTTATTTACTTTACTTGTATACCGCAGTTTCTCAGCCTAACAGGCGACTCAATGCGGCGGCGCTCCCCCATCTCTGGCTCTCTTCATAATTGCAAGATGCCCTTAGTGAAAGCTAGTCAGTACTGCTCAGGCTTTCATCATCATTCAGAAATTCCAGAAAACCAGAATAGGGTAGAAACACCATCACTGTTTGCTCCTACTCTTCTAGTTTTATAAAGTACATTCAGTTAAGTGTTATATCACAAGTAAAATGTATGTATGACTTTATGTCATGGTATTACATGAGCAAACCATTCTGTTTCATAAAGTGCAGGGTGGTTAAAAAAAGACAAAAAGAACAACAAGTGGTCTTACAGATCTTGTAAAATATTTCTTCTAATCTTATTATCAGTTGCACAAAGCTGTACCTGTAGATAAACCTTCTTTGCACCAGGAATATAATCTGCTATTCTGCCAAAGATCAATCGTCCAACTCCTGAAGTAATACCAAGGCAAAGCAAAAGTGTTACATCTGGAACATCTTTACCGATGCGCTCTTCCACGTGATTCAACTGTTCAAAAACAGAAAAAAGAGTTGAATTTAGCAAGAGATTCTACCTATATATATCACACAGAGTTTGATATATTGTCAGTCTTTTTGTCAGTCTGTTGTCAGTCTTTTTTTTAAAGTCCTACTTTTATCAATCCAGTTTATGCTGAGGTATCAACAAGCCTTATGCCCATGCATACAGCATCTCATTCCCTTCCTTCATGAGCTGTCTAAGTGCAATGCTAAACTAGCAACAATCCAAAGTTAACTTCAAACTGTCTTTTAAGATCTTTTCTTATTCAACACAGATACCAATGTTTTCCAGTTTTTATGAGTTATGAAACAATGGATGACCAGAAACATTCCAGCTTACATACATACTTGTGTCAAAGCCAACCTCATGTATAAGTAAGAGAAGATTTTGGAGCCAAAATGATGGGGTTTGATATGATTGACAGATAAGTTGAGGGTCATTCTTTAGAAAAGGGAAAGTACCAGCACTGCCTTTGGGGGGGGGGGGGCTGCTGCCATTGTTCTGCCCAGGCATACAAAAAGGCCTTTCAACACTCTAATCAGAGAAGAAGATTGCCCCTTGAGTGATACAAGTTATGGTAAAGTATTAACTGTTATCAAAAAAGGAACCATCCCACTCTCTGAGTAGAGTAACAAAAGGTGCGTACTAATCCATCCTGGGATAACTTCACCAGTCTACTCTCTCAGCAATCCTTTTGAAGGGAAGTGCTATTTTCCCATCCAGACATTCAAAAAGGCTAGAAGTAGCACAACAGCAGAGAGAGTAGTGAGGGTCAGTGTTGGGGTTTTTTATGTTCTCCCAGAATTAACTCACCTTTCACCACTTTACCCAGAGAAGGAATTCATTCCTTTTTAGATATGAGTTAAGATATAGTACCTATACTGATCGGTAAGTTGTCCCAGGATTTTGGGGGTTAATCTTGATTAAAAATTTAGACTTATACATGGTATTTGCAGTACTTACATCTTACACAAAGGAAGAAATGAAGGACTATTCATAATTAAGCTTACAGCTGAGATACATATAAAGAAGCAAAATTAAAAATAGAAAAAATATATAATAAAGTATGGAAATGGTCTTACATCCTAGTGGATAAAATGAATTTCTAGTTCAAATTAGTTACAACACATTGAAAACCACCAGAACAAAACTTAACTAGAATCCCAGTTAACACCCACACCAACTTAATTGAAACTGTTAATAGGTAAAAGTTCCTAATAAAATTATTAAAGAAAATGAAAGAACGCAAATCTTTTGATGATTTTACAAGTCCATTGGACAGCGTATCTTCCCCTTGCCTGTTGGCCATATAGCTGCCTGCCTGCATCCCTGTTGTGGCCTTGCCTGCCACTGGACTTGTCGTCCTCTTATTGAGCTACTGATTCTTACTTGCTTCACCACTGATGTTCTCCTCCAGGTTTGGGACCAATGTTACTTGCTAGTTTCTAACAATAATAATAATACTAATATTTTCTGGTGCAATTTTTTTTTTTGGTTTTGGGGTTTTGAAAATCAGGGTGCACACACATTCAAAGGTAGTATATGAGAGAATGATTAAGCTGAGGTTACATTGTGAGCTTCATGGTTTCATGGAGCAGCCTGATCCAAACATGCGACAGTGAACTAAGGAATTGGACTGAGAACAATCTTTTCCTTTTGTCACCCCTTGGGAGTATGCTTAAAGGTAAAGGCAAGGGCCTCCAAATCAAGAGGCTGACCTAATGTCAAAGGAACATAAGGTCATGTCTCCATCTTGACTGCTGAGACCAACACAGGAAAAGGCTTGAATTGAATAGCAGTCAGAAGCAGGACATTTAGAGCTATTCGTGGACTTCTTCAAATGACCTCCAGAGGCAGTAGGGGTAATAAAGATCAGGGTAGTAAGTCTCTGTGACTTCTGTTGATTGGCTTGTGCAAAACTGATACGATCTGCTTTCAAAGAAGAGTCTTAAGCCTAAAAAGCAGTTTTTATTTATTTGTGGAATAAATGCCTTACAGTGTACACAAGACCTCACGTTATAGCCTTTTCTCAGGCACAACAGATAATGTGAATGATGATCCATTTGAATATTTTTGTCACACAAGGTACATTTCTTAAAGGAGTCAGATGAAGCTAGAGTAGGTCACCAAAACCAAACCACAAAGTAAATCAAACAATCTTAATAAAGTTGAAAGACAGAGTCTAGAACAAAGCCAAGTTGATATCCAAAGGAAGCAAGCCAAAATAAAGCCCCATCCCACCCCCGAAAAAAGAAAAGAAATGTAGCAGAAAAGAAGTTCTGTCAATGGTGATGCTGCAAAGGACAAAAAAGAACTGAAGATTTGAATGGAAATAGGTTGGTCAAAGAAACATGGAAAGGAGGAGTTACTGACAAAATGCTTGCATAACAGCTCTAGAAGGTTCCAAATGATGCACTATATAGGTTCAATAAACCCATTTGTGTGAGTCACAGAGACTATGAAGAACTAAGCAGTACTTGCTTCTGAATGAAAACGAATGCCTTGTCCTTTATAATGGATTTAAGTAATTCAGTCATATAATATGTCTCCTGGCTCTTCTAAATCAAAGCTAAACAACCTTGCAAAGATGTGCTGTCATTTAAAATAACCAATGTGAAATTTTAAAAAAATTAAAAGGGAGGAATGCATCCAGCTTCTGCTTGATAATTTCCTCATGCTCTGACTTCCACAATGCTAATCTGTCCCAAATAATAATGAAGCTTTGCATTCCCTCCCAAATACAACACTTGTAATAAAGCCAGCGACACACCAATAGTGTTAACTATCACCAGGGATAAACATGAAGAAAAATACAATTGAATACAGTAACATAAATGTTTATACTGTTTAATTCCCAGGACTTTATATTACTTTTCCTGTTAACTTCCACAAGGGGAGAATGTCTCTGCAGCTACTATCTCACCTCCCATGGTAACTTTTAACAGTAATAGTTTTAATAGTTACGATTCAATTTATTTCCTATTCTGTGTATGTACATCAGCTCCATTGTTCCACATTATTGCAATTGTGAGTGATGAACACAGATTATTGACCTCTATTCCAAAAGAATATTCCTTCCTTGTGGAATATTATTTCTCAAATTTCAATAATGCAAACTGAATACATGCTAAAATAATTATCATTAATGTTAGGTTTTGGGTACACATACTGGGTGCATTTTTTCTTCCCAAAACACATTTGCTTTTACTCCATGATATTTGGCTTTAGATCTTTATGTTCTCTCTATCCTGGAAGTAGTTTGGTGGTTAGCATGCAATCCTTCTTAGTTTGAGTGAGAAAAGGCTTCAGAAATTCTGTTACATGTGTGAAACTCACCATGGTGTCCTCAAAATTATGTACTTTGTGCAGATTCCTACTCAAGTTCATAGTAACAAGATTCTTACTCCTCTGAATAGATTATGAATAATTAAATTACAAATGTGGAAATGTGTATGTTGTTGTAGTAAGCCTTCATGTTGTTTCTGACTTATATCAACCCTAACATGAATCTATTACCGAGTCTTCTTGGCAATATTTCTTTGGAGGGTTGCCTTGCCTTGCCTATGAACTCAGAGAAAGTGATGTGTCCCAGATTGTTCAGGAAGTTTCCATGGATGAGCAGGAAATTTGAATGACAAATAGAAAGTAGATATTGGAGATTGAGACTGTAGTCCTGTGTAAACTTACTTGGAGGCAAGTCACAGTCAATTCCAAAGGACTCACTTCTAAATAAACTTATAGAGGAAAAGGTGTTAAGGATTAAATTCCTTCTTAGTTCTGAGATATGAATGCATTCTACCCTACTTTAATTAGGGTATTAATCCAAGTGAATCATGAAGAAAACCATTTGATATACAATGTCAGCCAGCATTCACCATAACTGACTGTTTTCTAGACACACTATCAAATTTCATCTGTCATGCCTCACCCAGCTTTTGCCCTTTTGACTTTGTGCTCTGTGATACCAATTCTGAGAAATGATTACCTCCTAAGAAAATAAGTACTGAGAAGTAGTCACTGAAAAATTATAATCCCTGTTAAGTTTTCCATGGTATTAATAAAGAGTGTACTATACAGTAGAAAAATAGTTTCCCGGCACTTTTCATATGTACGATAATCTACTACTTTCAGATGAAAGTAAATGGTGTGGCTAATCAAACATAAGCACTGCCATACCAATATTGACAAGTGCAAGGAAAGATAAAAAAGTACGGAGCAGTTACAGAAGTGAATAAAGGGGGGAAATTTCACTAACCTGGACAGTCAAATTGCAGCAGAAGTTGAGATCTGAAGGAAGATAAATGTAAAGATTAGAAAAGCAAGTAAAGCACACAGAAGCCGCTGAAGATCTGGTGCCTTGAAAAATATCGAATTGAAAAATCAAATTGGCAGTGGAATAAACAAGCACCATATTAATTCTTAGATATGAGAGGTGTGGAAGGTAGCATGGATGAAGAAGCAAAAAGAGAGGAAAAGACAGAAAAGTGGAAGAGAGTATTAGTATGATTGACAGTCACACTTTTGACAGAACATATTCAAAATCATCAAAATGGTAATACTTGAATTATAGTATTACTTTAAAAAGGGAGAAGGCAAAAAGAATTGTTTGAAAGCAATTGTATTAAAAAAAACTGGCAGAAAATTGTTTGGAGAACTAAGTAAAGTACAGTGCTGAATTCATACATCTACAATTACATAAAATGGTTAAATGTGCTTTAGACCCGATGAAATGGGTGGACTAATATCAAGTCACGACTGGATTGTGCCCTAGATATTTGTTTTAGCCCTAAATGGTTCCGGCCCAGTTTACCTGTCTGAACATATCTCCCTCTACGAACCATCAAGAATGCTAAGATAATCCAGGAAGGCCCTGCTCTTGGTCCCACCACCATCACAGTCGCATTTGGTGGGGATGAGAGACAAGGCCTTCTCCGTGGTGGCCCCTCGGCTATGGAACTCCCTTCCTAATGAAGTTAGATCTGCCCCCTCCCCTCCTGATCTTCCAGAAGAAACTTAAATCCGGTTTATGGGATCAAGTATTTGCAGAATAGACTGTTTTTACTGGTGAAGATTTTATTTGACTACAATTGGACTGATTTGAATGATGATTTTAACCCGGCAAACTGTTTTTTAAATGTATATTTATAACTATTTAAATGTATATGGCTGTATTTTATTATGTGTTTTACATTGTGTTGGAAGACGTCCTGAGTCCCTCCTTGGAGGTTGAGAAGGACGGAGTACAAATGTTCTAAATAAATAAATAAATTTTAAAAGAAGGGGTAGGAGAGGTACATATAGTATGGAGAGGGGTGCTTGAACTTTAATGCATTTTTCATCAATTTATTTACTGAAATTACCAATAAAATAACAGAGAGAGAATATGAACATTGTAGTTGAGAATTATTTGTGGCTAGATCCAAAGGGCTGATCCCACAGTGGGAGGCTACTTCTCCATATCCAAGAGTGGGGGCTGCATTTTCTTCTCGTTCTTCTCTTCAGCTGCACACCCCTACAGAATTTCCCTACCTTTGATATTTTCTGAACTTCAAGGTTGCCACAGGCAATAGTAAAGCCTCATTATCATCTCCTTAACTTGTTGCCCCTAATTTAGAGCATTTGGAAAAACATAGGATGTATCTCTAGGTAGAAAATGAACAGAATTATTCTGTTTTCTTAGGAAAGAACCCATTTTGTACATTCTACATCTAACTGATGCCATATATAACATTTCCCAGATAAAATTCCTAAAAAAGTACACACTTAGACTTCACTAAGTAGTTAACCACTGTTTTAAATATCTTAAGGGGGAGAGTAAACTGAACATGAGCAGTGTAGTCTGATATTGGTGATGAGGAATCAATCTAATGCAGTGGCTCTCAACCTGTGGGTCCCCAGTTGTTTTGGCCAGTTTACCAGCTGTTATGATTTCTGGGAGTTGAAGGCCAAACATCTGGGGACCCACAGGTTGAGAACCACTGATCTAACGTCATGTAATGAGAAGTTACTTTAGCATATCCACACAACACAGTTATTTTAAAAAGGGTTCAATTTTTGCTGTCATGATTTCAGCCTACCGATTTCTCCAGCAAGTAATTCCATCTATTTCAAACATTGTTTTTTTGTTGTTGTTGTGGTGTGCTTTCAAGTTGTTTCAGATTTATGGTGACCCTATCATAGGCGTTCTGTGCAAGATTTGTTTAGAGGGATATTTTTCTGAGGGTTTCCCTCCCTCAGACTGAGAGAATATGACTTATTGTTAATTTTTTCATGTTATGTTTATTTTTGCTCTTTTAGCCTTGTACAACGCTTTGAACCTCATCCATGGGAGAAAAGCGGGATATAAATAAATAAATAAATTATTATTATTATTATTATTATTATTATTATTATTATTATTATTATTATTATTATTATTGAAGGTCGCCCAGTGGTTCCATGGCTGTGTAGGAATTTAAATCCTAGTCTCCAGAGTCACAGCCCAGTACTCAAACCACTACATGATATTGCTTCTACTTTAAACCACAAACTCAAAGATTCTGTAGGATTGAAGCATGACATTTATAGCAGTTTCAAACTGCTATAAATATGTAGTACATATACGCAATATATATGAAACACCATAATGTCCAGCCCAGATAAGGATCCAGGGATCCTTTAAATCAATGTTCAGATGTTTGGAAGCCTGGATCTAAACAGTTCTAGTCAGAATAGTGAATTGACAGATGTGGAGAAGCCTCTCAAAATTAGAACAAAATCATTTTTTTCTAATCAAAGTTAGCCTTAGCATTATGATAACCAACTGAAAGTCCCATTCTAGTCTACATAAGTTGATCATATGTGGGTATCAGAAATACATTGTGTGTGTGCTTCAATAAGCTGTGGCTCTTCGGATTCAGCATCTTGTCCAATAGGGTACTTTCTTCACACCATCGTTTTACATTTGCCTTTAAATACTTCCCCTTCTTTTGCCATCAGTGTTTTGAAGCTGAGTCCAATATAATGCATGCAATCCCCGACTTACAAATATCTGACTTCAAAACGATTCACAGTTAAGAAAGGAAGTGAGACAACAGAAAGTAAGAGAAATTTATCCCTCAGAAGAGAAATTCTTTCTCTTATCATAGGGAGTTATCATAGGAAAAAGGCATCTCAACTGAAGCTTTATCACTAATTCTTGTGTACGGAGAAGAGCTAACCACAGACCACCTATTACAATGCAGCCTGAGCCCTGCCACCTGCACAATGAAGGGCCTTCTTGTAGCAACACCAGAGGCACTCCAAGTAGCCAACTACTGGTCAAAGGACATTTAGTATAATGCCAAGTTTTTAACTTTGTTTATGTTTTTAAATATATTACAACTGTACCATCAATTCGCTTTTGACATGATAAATAAATAAACTGTTTCCACAACAAGTGCTTTTTTAAAAATCCAATTATCACAGGACAGAAAGTGAAGTGAAATCTTCTGAACAGTGACACAGACAGCAAGCAAACCACAAGGGTGTTAACTCTTCCCTAGGCTATCCAAAGCTCATGTATATGTATATGTATATATGGATGAAGTTATACTTTAAAAATGCACCTGTTCTGAATGACAAATTAAATTTAAGAACAAACCTACAGAAACCCAAAACAACACAGATCAAGATCTGCAAGTGGAAGGTCAGATTTTAGAATCAAGAAGTCATCTTCCAATCACCCCTCCCAAGACTAAAACTAAATGCTGTTCACACAATTGTTACTGCAGGTATTCAGTAACATTCCTTTCTCTATCATGGTTACATTTTTTAAAAATAGTATGGAAAATTTCTGAGGAAGCAATATTGCTAAGAATAGGCTTATCAGTCAGTTTGCAGAACTGATATATAATAAGAATATCTAATAAAATCTAGAGACAAAGTCTGCAAAATATTCGCTGAATGAATTGGAAATTCTATGTGCTACAATTCTGGAACACATTAAAAATTTCAAATTATACACAGCAGCACAATCTCAAGTAAAACCTTCGATTGTTGTATTTCGTTCAATTTTTCAAGTTTATAGGAATACACTTGATATAAAGTTCCTGTATTAATATACTGCAAAATGCGCTATATATGGATTTGTGCTGGTTGAAGCAAAATATAATCAAAAACAAAAGAGATTGCTCAATGCACATATTTTTTCTTCCCTATTGTAGTCTGTCCAAGAAAGAGGGGAGAAGGGGAAAGGAAATTCATTTCTAGAACAAGCATCCAGATATATAGTAAGAGATAAGACAGAAATAAAGTTTGAATTCAGAAGAAGAAATGTCAGGATGGAGGAGCAATGAGTTCAAGAGAGCAGAGGAACTAACATGTGGAATTGCAACTGTATCTGTATACTGCCAATTATATTGTGAAACAAAATATCATACATTGAAAGATACAGCTATCAGTTTATCTTTTATCTTTTTCACCTTTATGCACCCATCTCACTCAAATCTGTACACTTCTCTAAGAGGTGAATCACTCCAGCATTGGAAATTCTAATACTGAACAATACAAGAAAGTGCACTCTTTCAATATTTTCTAGAAACAGAGGATTAGACAGAAGAACCTCTTTAAAACTAAATAGATTTTAATAAAAAGATTTATACTAATTGAGGCATTTTCAAATAAAATGTGCATTCATTATGATTTTAGTATTGGATGAGATATATATTGTGATTTTAAAGCTTGTATGTTGCATTACTAGTCCCAAAATTGCAAGGACATGGACAACCATTTTTTCTATGCCTGAAACCACTTTTCTGTGCCCCTTGCACAAATCTCGTAAATTTAGTTTTAGATTTTTGTCCTAATCAGTAACCCATTGTAATCAACTTTGGAACAATGCAGAATCCTAAATCAAACCATAATATTTCCTCGTAAAGAACAGGAAACTGCAATTAATAGGAGACTTCCTGAATTACAATATATACTCATGTACAAGTCTAGAAATTTGAGTTAAGAAATCTGTCCTCAAAATCTGGGTCAACTTATCCCTGTTCAATGTAAGTACTGTATCTTAATTCGTATTTTAAAAGGAATCATCCCCTTACAGAGTAGGGTAGCAAAACTTAGACTATCCTAGCAGAACCTAAAAGAAGCATTGAATCCCATCTACACTCTGCACCATGGTGCCACTCCTGGTCTTTGTCTGGGCAAAAAAAATGGTAGCAGTGGTGGCCTGGCATGGCTGGTCCCCTGAGACAGCCATGGCACCTTCTTCTCTCTGCGGAATGACTCTTAGCGTTTGGTTCCCAAAACTCCCCTTGGCTCATACATGAGACAGAGTTATACACGAGAATATACAGTAATCACGTTCCACAAGAATGGCTGTGTAAGCACCATTTAGTAATTTAAAATATAACAATCTACCTCATACACAAAGACCTTACCATCCTCCTTTCATTTGTATCTCTGCCAAATATAGTTTTTAACAATCAACATTTGTTCTTAATTACTGCAAGATGCTGTTAAACTAACAAAAACATAAATATATTTAAATAATATCTGATAAAGAAATAAATCCAATTGTTTCTTCCTTATGTATTCTTCAGTTAAAATATAAAACAGAATTTGTATTTGTTTTTAAATCCAGTAGCTCATTAAATTACATGATCAATATACTATACATCTAAAGAAATACATATACTTACTAAATGAACATAAGGTATGAAATATCCAAATAAGGCAGTTGGAATTCCAAAAGCCCAGATTCGATAACTTGTTATTTTGAAAATGGAAAAATGGAAAATTGTTTTTACAGGTGGAAAACTGAACTTGTTTTTTTCTCCACTTTTTTTGGCAGTAGGAATGAGGGGCTTATAAGTAAAGCCAGCCAGGAAAAGAACAAATACAAAAATGCACAGGACCCGGAAAGTGTTGTAAAGGCCAACTTTGTCAGTCAGCACATTTAACAGGAAAGGCAATGTTACTGTAAACAAGCTACTGCCAGCAGTGACAATTCCATTCACCAGGCCCAGGCGCTTCTTGAAATAATGTCCCAAGATCACCAAGGATGGCTGATACGTAAATGAGCAGCCACAGCCAAATAAAATTCCATGTGTGAAATAAAGAGGCCCAAGTGACCTGCAATAGACCAAAGACACATTATTCACGATATATATTTATGTCATTGTTTAAATTAAAAATTGCAGTCTTCTGAATCAAAATAAAGTTCCAAAATGGTTTTCAGCTAATAAACAGAAAACTATTTATGTCTTAAATCTTTGTAATTCCTAAAAATATAACATCTCAAATCTGATCCAATAAAATTTAGTGTGGTCATACTTCAACCCAAAGTTTATCATGAGTATATGTTCTCTATGGATACATGGTCTACATAGTTGGCATGACTGCTCAAGTCAAATTCTGCCATCTATAAAGCCCTAAATGACCCAAAGCCGTATCAGAATCTTATTTTAGGCTTAATATAATTAATCAGAAACCAATGAACTTAAAATAGAACCAGAACATCCTGCACATTGTAGTTTCTGATCATTTCTAAATATCTTGACACAAACAAATTGAACCAGATAGAGCACAGCAGACTCTCAGTTAATTGGCACCCTGGGGATTGGTAGATGTCAGATAAATGTATTCTCCGGTTGCTTGAGAGTTACTATTAAAAATAAGCCTAACTAATACTACACTCCATACTATAGCATAACATGAACTCTACATTGACTTGATATTAACATTGAAATACAGTAACTAAAAGCAAACAAAGACAAACTTAATGTAACAGAGTTTTACTGTATTATAAAAACAGCTTTGTGAATGCAATATGCAATTTGTATATATTTCTTTTAACTTTTTATGGTTACTTGATTTTCAGTTAACTGGGAGTCTACTGTAACATGTTTTGTCAATATGTATTAAAGAGAGATATTAGCAGTTTATATCAATTTGTAGTACAATCAGAAGTTTAGCTCTGAATATTTTGTTACTCGCCACGAAATTGAAAAAGGTAAAACCAGTACCATCTTTAGAAGATATACCAGCTACCACATTATTTCAAAATTTAAGGTCCATTGCAATTTGACTTTAAAGTGTCCTCCTTGTTAACTGAGGTATGCTTGTACTTTCCTGGTGCAATGGAGGGGACAGTCACTTGTTTCCAGCCATTGTCCTTCCCCACATACTACACGGTTTCCTCCATTAACTTTGAAGTTAGAGGGGGCAGAATAGTAAACAGTCTAATAAACTCAAAACATGGCTAATAAGTGGACATGGCCAAGGAAATGGTGTATGGCTTGAGGAAAATCTAGAGATTCATATATCCGGAGTATGCATTTGATCAATAGATTTAAGAGTTACTTTAAGAACCACTGAACATGGAGTGCTTTCCTTACGCTATGATGTGTTACAATTATAATTACAGTCATATGATAATCTATGTAAAATATTTCTGCTTTATCAAAACCACTGAGAAAATAATGAGATAACTATAATAGTAAAAGTATTTTAAAAGACCTGCATACACCCTTAAATCTAAATTGAGATTAAGAATGGTAACCTCCTCCCCTTCCTTTCCAACAGCAGCCCATCAAAGTTCTTGGAAATGTAACACAGAACAGGAGAAGCTGCTGAATGGATGATGGCTGAAAATTAGGTGAGTGAAACCAAACTCAACAAAAAATATACCACAGAAGAATATAATTATATTTGAGGATTAGCGTTCAAACACATTATGATTTTAAAAACCAACTAATTACACAAACATCCTATTCATATCAGGAGACACAACCAATTACAGCAGGATAAGGATTGCAAATTACTAAAACACTTTAAGCTGTACAGTAATTAGAAGCAACTCTAATAATTTGAGATTATATGATATTGGTTGCTGAAAGCTTTTGAAGTTTTTAATCCAACGTGGCTCAGATTTCAGTACACTGTGAAATATCACTTGCATTCAGAGAATTCAATGAAAAATGAATAATCTTACCTTGCAAACGAGCTTGAAAGGAGCCCAATTAAAGCCACTGTTGCTCCACCAACAGCTACCTTTCGGCAGCCAAATATGTTGGTAAAGATACTGACTATGGGGGAACAAAAGAAGATCATTCCCATTGAAAGGGAATTCACCAGTGCTGTAAAAAGATTAAGATTATCAAAGTTAAGTATGTTTGGAATGGCAGATCTAATTACATGACAGCAGACCATGACTTACAATTGTGACACTATTTTCAGGAGAATACAGAATGAAATCTTGTAAGACAACTAAACTAATAGCCAACATTATATTTACAAAATCAGTCTGGAAAACATCAACAGGTTTTTTCAAAAGGCTGCAAAGAACAGCTATGGAAAACTCTTTTCTTTTGATGTGAACCGAACTTGTTTGGAAATCAGGTGAACACACTTCAAAGTCCACAGTTAGTTTAGGAGATCTGGGCATTGACACAAGAGACATAAAACTTGTAATGAAGCATAAAATGGTGTACATAAACTGCCAGTTTAAGAGAAGTTGGATAACAGCACTACTTACCAATTGCTAATTAAGTAATTTATTACTTAATCTTGCCAACTTAATCTTTTACAAATTGAAGGATTATGATATTAAACCAAAGAATGTGATATAATCTTAAAAACAAAGGAGTTGAAGGGATTGTGGGCAAACCACATTAACCGTAGCAGTAATTAGCCAAGAAAAAATTCTCATCTGGCAGCCACTAGGTGCCAGAAGATGTGGAGATTTCTAGATCAAAGAAAGGGAGAAATAGAATAAGAAGTTAATTAATGTTAGGTGACATGATGATGCTTAATAAAAAAGCATATACAGGCTGGATTTGCTCAACAGTGCAATAAAAATAGGTTTGGTGGAGAGGTCTTTTTAGTATGGCAGACCACATTGCTTCCAGGGCAATTTGTAAGAGTTATATGTCCACAGCAGATGTGATCAGAGCAATAAGTAGGCAAATCAATTTCTATTCTCTCTCTACACCTCTTCTCTTTCTCCCTTTTTCCCATCTCTTCCTCTATAGCTAGTGGGCTGCCTGGGGAAGTGACATATCACTCTTTCAGGATACTGAATTCATACAAGAGGATTTAAAACTGGGCTGAGAGCAAGTATGTAAAGCCTAAAGTTATCTTTGTATTAAAAAATGTCAATTTTTTATAGTCAATATGCTAAAGTTAATGAAAGCCAAAGTTCCTCCAAAATGTAAAACACGTTGTCAGTGCTAACACAGGGAAACAGGAAAATGACAAGAACGTATAGTATCTAGTACAGGGTTCATCTTCAGCACTTCTGATAATATTGGCTATGCTGAATTTATGAAATGTATTTGGAATGCTATCAAATAGTAAAACATATGTGAATGTACCACAATGGCAGACTAAGAATTTGTGATATTATGAAATATTATGAGGCCTCAGATATTACAAATATAGTAAATGTCAACGTTCCTTGCTACATTGCTCTACTACAAGCACAATGTTCCCTGCAGGAATGGGAAATGCCCATTATAAATAGAAGATACTGTATGTACTAAAAACTAAAAATGAGAAATGTTCCTATTAGACATAATACAGACCTCAAATGTCTATCAAGGATAATGTGTCCAGACTGAAAATCTGTGTGAGATATGAACCATCACAAGGGATGGACTGTTGTATATAACAAAAAGGTAAAATCACATGTTCATTCTCTTGACATATACATTCTCTGAAAGTGCAAAACTGAATGCATACTTATGAGGAATGTTGATGTTGACCTGCCTACAAGACCATATTGTTGTTTACAACCTTGATAGCTCAAGTGAACAAAACAACAAAACATAAGCAATTCTAAGCAGCAAAAGGCAAACATAAGGAACTTCAGTACATCAATAAAAAGATGTGATGCTGGAACCATGCTTGTTTCAACTTGTAAATTCCATTAGCATAAAGTTTATTCAATATACTGCTATTTTATTAAAGCTACATAGTAGCCAGTTTAAGGATTAAGTGTTCTACCTGTTTCAGTGAGAATGAATGTTGTGGGTAAGCAGGCTGAATATGGGTTAGCAGTGTTATTGTATTAAATTACAAATAATAATGGAGCATCATCCAGAACAAGAGCAAGACTACAAAATAAGTCATTAATTCTGTTCCCATACAATCTGCCTCGGGCATTTAGGTGATTTGGGGAGCAGCTACTACAATCAGCCAGAAGCCTACTAGCAACAGTCACCCAGTGGACCTTTCCATTAGCCACCCCAACACTCTGGAATGACCTACTGGAAGAGACCCAACAGTTACATTGGCTGTCAGAGCTTAAAACAGCTTCCAGCAGGCCTATCCAGTCAATTTTAATGTGTGAATTTTACTGGAAAGGTGAATTTTAATCTATATTTTATCTGTGGATATTTATTATATGCATCTTACTAGTGTTTTGTTTTATCTTGCTGTTTTAATCATGCTGTATCCCACCTCGAGCCACAAGGAGAGCGGGTATATACCAAAAAGCATTATGTGAACCAGGAATAGAGTCAGACTCAAAAATTCTGCAATTGACCTATCCATAACATTTAGTACATACTGAAGGCAACATTGAAAAGCTACCAAATTATATGGGAAGCACATCTGTTTACTCAAGAGAGCGCAATGGAGAAAATGAGAAGAAATAAATATGTGAACTATAGAATTCATTTATTTATATGAATTTTTGTAATGAAATTGATTAAAAATGTAATGAAATTATTAATAAAAAAGTAATTATAAACAGCTACCAAATTATATCATTTGTAATTGCAGAAAGAGCTGTAATTACTCCAGACTTCCTTTTTAACAATATATGAACATATAACTAACAAAACGAATGTGATTTTTATGGAATGGCAGCTATATTATTAAAAAGAGTACTCTTCCTAATAATATTCTGAATGTAATCCAGAACAACTTATAAAAGCATGGCATTTCTTCTTAACAAGTGCCTTCCAACGTTTTACATACTGATCTTCAGCTGATGGGCTTTGGCACTGAAAGAGAGGAGTTACACTAAAAGTGGCAACAATTTTCTTTTGGTTGTTTAAATTTAAGGAGAGTAACAAAAGGGTGTCAGGGAGAACACAGGAAATGGAAAGGAAAAAGAGATAGAAAACACGTTTTGAAAAGCTTCTTTACTTGGAAACATTCCTGTGTCCTACAGGTATGTGGGCCAGTGGTCAAGTACAAACATGAAATATTTGCAATGCTGCATGTTTTGCCTGTGAGATTTTGTACTCAGGCATTTATTAAAGTAGGGATGAGAAACATATATCTCGTCAGGTATTAAACTGCAGCTCTCATCATCCTTCAGCACTAGCAAGGCCTGATGGGAATAGCAGGCCCTCCAACATTTGGAGGGCTACGGGTTCCTCTCCTCTATAGGGAAGTAAATAAAACATGTAGTTGGACACAACAGAAGTTTCATTTATTTGTAGCCAATGCGGTTTCAATAAGATTTTAAAACTTTAAATCACTAAATCTGGATAAAACCTCAACTGATCATAACTGTGAACATCAGATTTAGTCCCCAACTGTAATATGGAAATGGAAGTAACAAAGCACAGTGCAACAGATTAACATGAACAGTTCTTTACCATAATCAAGGCAAAGACACAGAATGCATTACTACATAGTGAATTTTAAAGACACTGACTCTGTTGTTAGGGGTGACAAACTTTTTAAAAACATTCTAAAACCTCTTTTTGCTTTGTTCAGTGTGGCATTGATGTGAAGGTGCTAGTGCGAATGAAGAGGCTGTGATATACCAAGAAAAACTCTAGGCAGGGTCCTAGTCTATTGTTCTGGCCAGTACATATTTGACAAACCACAATAGCAGAAAACCTATGGTAGAATAAATCTGTTTGTCATAAAAAAAAAATACCACATCTCTTGCCTGGCTACAGCTTCTTCTTTGAAATCATACACTTTCCAATCATATCCACAAGAGGGGGCAATGAACAAACTACTTTCAGATTTTTTTATGCGAAGAATTTCAAATCAATGTATTGTCGAAGGCTTTCATTGCTGGAATCACTAGGTTCTTGTGAGTTTTTTCGGGCTATATGGCCATGTTCTAGAGGCATTTTTCCTGACGTTTCGCCTGCATCTATGGCAAGCATCCTCAGAGGTAGTGAGGTCTGTTGGAAATAGGAAAATGGGTTTATATATCTGTGGAATGACTGGGGTGGGGCACAGAGCTCTTCTCTGCTGAAGCTAGGTGTGAATGTTTCAGCTGACCACCTTCATTAGCATTTGAAGGCCTGGCTGGGGCAAAGAGCTCTCTGCTGAAGCTCTAAACATACGACCTAGCAAAATTTCTTGCTACACAGTTACAAAGCCATATTGGGCTCACTACACACTACATCAAGGACTCAGCCCACTTCATAGAAAAAATCAGCAATCTCAAGCTAAATACCAACGACAAACTGATCAGCTTCGATGTGGTATCTCTATTTACCATGGTCCCGGTAGCAGACACCATGGCACTCATCAACCAGAGGTTCCCAGAAGACATCACGGCTCTGTTTCACCATTGCCTCACCACCAGTTACTTTCAGTGGGACAATGAATTCTACGAACAGAAAGATGGAGTAGCTATGGGGAGCCCTCTCAGCCCGGTCATAGCTAACTTCTACATGGAACACTTTGAAAAACAAGCCCTGGAGACAGCAACCAAAAAGCCCACGATATGGTTCAGGTATGTGGATGACACCTTCACCATTTGGAGCCATGGAGAAGAAGAACTCAACAGGTTCCTGGACCATCTTAACAGCATCCACCCAAAAATCCAGTTCACAATGGAAAAAGAAAATGAAGGAAGACTGCCCTTTCTAGATGTCCTAGTCATCCGCAAACCAGATCAACAATTGGGTCACACCGTCTACAGAAAACCCACACACACAGATAGATATCTACATAAAAACTCCAATCATCACCCAAGTAAAAAAAGAAGCACCATTAAAGCCTTGGCAGACCGTGCAAAAAGAATCTGCGAACCCCACCTCCTCCAAGATGAACTGAACCACCTAAGCTGGGCTCTACAGGCCAATGGATACTCCACCTCAGACATCAGAAGAGCTGCAAGACCAAGAACAAGCCACGAGAGTAAAGATGAAGATCC